GTTGATGATGAGGATTTACAGTAATCTAGTCATTTGTGAGATCCAAGCTACTAAGCTAGCTTGTGTAGACTTACAGAAGCCTAAATTATACATCAGCCATCGTACTAGTGTATATATATAGTGTGTGAATTCAACTCATTGACCTTTTTAATAATTTTAGAAAATGACAGAAGCAAATATAATTATATACTACAAGTAAGATACAAATTGAGACTTTAAAGCAAGTTTGAATCACATATGGACGTTTATACTCTATAGACAATGTCATTTTGTTGCTTTTAAGCTACACAGCTCACAATAACATCAATCACACTCACACACTTATCGCGATATTCTTTCAAAATACGAAAACAAAATCCAAATTCATACTGTTAGTTACTTTTTTTTTTTGTTAAACTACTGTTGGTTACGTTGTACATAAGTTGTTGGAACAAGAAACAATATGTTGAAACACGATGAAGTGGCACAAAAAGTTAGGGTATATATAAAAAAGATATAACAACAATATATATACATTAGCAAAAATGTGGAGTTGAAAAAAAACATTTGACCAAATTTATTCCAATTTGTATGTAGGTTAGATTTAAGGCCACTTCATGAATATGGATATATATATATATATATATATATAAAGAAAGTGTGTGTGCTACGTATAGGATAAGCCAAAAATATTGAAAGAACGCGAGTCTTTTACTTTTTTCGTGTCACCTCTTAGGCGAGTCCATGTTACTTGTTCGAAGTTCGAACTCCATTTTGTGTGTTGGAATATGTATAATTCTTAGGCTGTGTTTATAGTTAAAAAGATGAGGAAAATCTAAGTCGATTGATCCTTGTATATGAGTGAAAGATGTGTGTGTCTATTTGGCACAAGAATATGAGCTAAGTAATATAATCACATGGTGGAGTAGAATATGCTGCAGAAGATTTATTCCAATTTGTATGTACTGTATGTAAAAAAATTTGGACGACACGTTACACGTACACTTCATAAGGATGATATACAAACAGGGGAAATGTGTGGCGTTAGGATCATAAAACAGTTGTGAGGTTTCGATACAAAAGCGAATCGATCGTGTTTACTCGTTTAGTATAGAATTTTGTGTACTGGACAAGAGTGTGAATCCGAGATTGTCTATTAGCTTATTTTGACAACAAAGATGAAAAAAAAGAAACTAATTTTTCCATGCTTTGAAAGCTTGTTATGTATGACTAGTGGAGAATTAATGGTGTTAGGCTGAGAAGTGTTTTAGAATTGAGTTCCATTTAGTAAAAAGAAATTGTAAGATTTTTTTTTTAGTAATGACTACTAATTTAACGATTATTTTGAAACTTTAACACGTTGCTGAACCACGATGAGTTTTATTATATGCTCTTGTTCATGCTTTTTCACATGTGGAGAAAGGAGACGGCATAACTAGTTTCGGTGGTGGCAATTTTTGATTCCAGCGAATACAGAATTGTTGAACCCAGTCACATTTACAATGATTTGGCTCTATTTATCCACTAAAACTTCTGTTTACAATTACTTTTTTTTTTTTCAAAATATTGTGGAAAAAACGCGTATATACTGCATAATATCTGTGTAGATTTTAAGACTAGTCGCACTTCAAATTATTAAAGAAAGGACTATAATAATAATAATAATACATAGCAGTGACTGTGAAAGGACCCTTGTAAAAATTGTATGATTAACAGAGGAGATTAATAATATTACAATTCAAGAAAATGAGTTTACTACCTTCACGCTACGTGCAATTACTAGAGATAGTGGTGTCGGTATCTTTAGATGTGAAAAAAAATATAAAGTGCTGTGGGTATTGTTGAAAATTATTGCGTATTAGGATATATATTAGCATTGTTTGTCTCTAAAGGCACAATTTATTCCTTACTTTCAAAAATGATATGCATTTCTTCAGAAGCTTTAATTATACAAATGTTTGAATAATTATTTTAATATACACACACATAACCTATGTCCTTAATCAAAATACAAAGATATGTTGACAAAAAGATATATAGAAGTTTTGCATAGAAATATAAACCAATTATTATAATATAGTCAAAATTGTAGTCATGGTGTAATAATTACACCAACTTTACGTGCAAGTCATTCATAGTTTCACACACACATCAACTTCCTATATAAGCGCAAACACATATACCTCAGCAACAGCAACCAAAAACAAAAAACCACACATTAGTCCTTAAAAGACAAAAATGGCGTTTGCGGTATCAAAGCGAAACGCAATGGCGTTTCTGGTGACGCTACTAGTAGTCTCCGTTCCACTGTCTTCGTCCACACTACAACAAGATTTCATGCAGTGCCTCGTCGACAACTCCGACATTTCATTCCCGATAACGGCGTCGTTTTTCTCGCCCGACCAAAACGCTACTTTGTTTAAAGAAGAGCTTGAGTCAACCGCACAGAATCTCCGTTACTTGACGCCGTCAAATCCGAAGCCTGTGTTCATATTTGAGCCTTTGTACGAGACGCACGTCCAAGCAGCCGTCGTGTGTGCCAAGAAGCTCCAGCTTCACCTTCGCCTACGTAGTGGCGGCCACGACTACGAAGGGCTCTCGTTCGTCGCGGAGAACGAAACGCCGTTTGTGATCGTTGATCTATCGAAGCTTAGACAGATCGACGTCGATTTGGACGGTAACAGCGCGTGGGCTCACGCAGGAGCCACCGTTGGAGAGGTTTATTACAGGTAACGCCTAAGCATGATTGTACTATGTATTAAACTCATGAGTTTTCTAGGTTGGTTCGTTTTCTTCATAATAAAGAAAAAAATTGAAGCATAACACCAAAACAAAAATGGCTTGGCCATAGCTAAACTTTTGGAATTTCAGTAACAATAAAAACGGGTGATGCTTCATTAACCAAACAAAATATTTGTTTTGATAATATTATTTGGGCGGTAATGGAAATTATAACATTTTCAGCAAAAAACAAAAAGTAGGTATGTTTTTCTTTGATATTGCCTATTACCATTTGGGGAAATATTTGATCGCAACTTTGTTTTAGTGGATTCCCTAGAAACGTCGGTTGAAAGATTTTTCTTTTTTATATCTGTTTTTGTGTTACAAAAGCATTGTAATCAGATCAACTTCAATTTTTTAATCATAAAGCTACTTTTGTTTAAAACCCACCAGAATAAATTATTCCGCTATATTTCGCTTCTACTACAAAACAGAAAATGTGGTTTATACCAAAGTTATTACCGGTTGTGTTGAAGAAGCGATTTTATTTTCAAACATTAAATGTTTGTATAGAAATTTTCCAATTCGTCGATTTCAGTTATGAGAACCGGTTTCTATTTGACAAATTGCTGGCTGCAAACAGAGCACGGTTTAGCTTTGGATTAATGATCCGGTAATTAAACGGTTTTCTTTCCCGGTTTAATAGGATCCAAGAGAAAAGCCAAACCCATGGGTTCCCGGCGGGTTTATGCTCCAGCCTTGGCATCGGCGGCCACTTAGTCGGCGGAGCGTACGGTTCCATGATGCGAAAGTTCGGTCTCGGCGCCGACAATGTCCTCGACGCGAGAATCTTGAACGCCAACGGCAAGATCCTTGATCGCGCGGCGATGGGAGAGGACGTCTTTTGGGCGATTCGCGGCGGTGGCGGCGGGAGCTTCGGCGTGATCCTCGCCTGGAAAATCAAGCTCGTTCCCGTTCCGGCGACCGTAACGGTATTCACAGTCACCAAGACGCTGGAGCAAGACGGGACCAAGGTTTTGTACAAATGGCAACAAGTCGCGGACAAGCTTGACGAAGATCTCTTCATCCGCGTGATTATTCAGACGGCGAGCAAAACCACCAAAACCGGAAACCGAACCATCTCGACATCGTACCAAGGCCAGTTTCTCGGCGACTCGAACCGGTTATTACAGGTAAACTGGGGTTGCAAATCGGTCTAAATTTAAACCCTTTTTATTATCTTCTTGGCACACAATCTTTTGAATTTGACAATTTCAACCCTAAAATTTTCAAAACAGGTGATGCAAAAGAGTTTCCCTGAGCTAGGACTGACCAAGAAGGACTGCGTCGAAATGAGCTGGATCAAATCAGTAATGTACATTGCGGGATTTCCGAGCACCGCACCACCGGAGGCTTTACTGGACGGGAAGTCACTGTTCAAGAATCACTTCAAGGCCAAGTCAGACTTTGTGGAAGAGCCAATTCCTGTAGAAGGCTTAGAAGGGCTATGGAAGAAGCTTCTAGAAGAGGACTCGCCGTTGACGATATGGAACCCTTACGGAGGGATGATGGCGAGGATTCCAGAGTCAGAGATACCTTTCCCTCACAGGAACGGGACGCTGTTCAAGATTCAGTGGCTATCGACGTGGTCAGACGGGAAAGCGAGCGAGGCGAGGCATATGAAGTGGATAAGGGAAATGTATAGTTACATGGAGCAGTATGTGTCGAAGAACCCGAGACGTGCGTATGTGAATTACAGGGATCTTGATTTGGGGACGAACGAGGAAGAGAGTGATGCTAGTGAGTGGGGGAGCAAGTATTTCAAAGGGAATTTCGAGAGGTTGGTGAAGATTAAAGGTGAGTTTGATCCTGAGAATTTCTTCAGGCATGAACAGAGTATTCCGACAAAGATTGGTTGATGGAATGGAGTGAGTTTGTTTTTAAATTGGGTTTTAAAATTAAAAAAAAATATATATAGAAGTGATGTGGCTTTGGGTTTTGTCATAGGGGAGCATTATATAGATTGTGTTTTTCTTGTCTTGATATATATAAATCAATATTTACTTATGGTGATGTGGTTTATCTTTGAATTAAATACTGATATTTGCTTACAAAAAACCGAATTCGAATTCGAACTGTCACAAATTTAACTGATATTATTATGGGTGCATCAACAAGTTGTGTAACTCGGTCATTAGCATACTCATCATTAAAACATAACCATATTCTTGTAATAAAAGGAAGTTTAGATAGAAAACAAAAAGGTGTGTATAAAGATACGATATTGGTTTGTATTCTTTTTAACCGTACAATGCAGAACAATCGGTGGACTTAAAAGAAATAACCTCTGAAGAAGTATCATAACCAATCAACCAATTGTTCTGTGCTCTGTTTCCAAAGAATGCATCATCATTTGGACCACCACAGACAATCCCCAAACAAGTCACTCCTCCTCCATTCTCCACATACATATTGTAATTATCCAACGCAAGATCAGCACCTCCCGAGAAATGCATCGTGATCGCCGGAAACATCTTTATGTCGTTGGTAGTGTAGCAAAGCAGATCACCCGTAAAAGGTGCTGGTTCAGCTTTCACAGCGTTACTAACAGCATCCTTCACCATGTTGCAGTAGCTCTCGGGCAAGTATGTGTTAGTGGTTCCAGAGTCTATGATTATGTTTCCGTCTGATGAGTGAAACGGTGTCCCTAACGTCTCAATCCTAGAATTCCCAACGCTGATCGCGTCTAGGTTAAGGTAATAGAAGTTTTTACCATTCTTTCTATAGATAGTGGTTGCTACGGTACCTCCCGCCACAACAGCATTAGCTCCAAAGTTGATTTTACTAGTTCCTTTACCGGAAAAGCAGTAAGAGAAAAGACCGGGGTAGTTTCCTCCCATCTGTGAGATGAGCGATGAAGATCCCCAATCTAGACCAACAATGCCCGAAGAGGCCGGGGACATATCCCCTGTGTTGTCGTGGCCACAACCAATGGTGGTTCCAGCCATCACAAAGGGTTTTCCTGAAGTTGATTGGATGGTGACGGTCTCGGTCGCGAACGTTCCTTTGGAGTTGAGTCCGCCTGCGTAGGCAGCCTCGTAATGACAGACGTGGTCAGGTTCGTTGGCGCATTGTTTCTCTTTGTAGGTTGAGGATTTTGAAGGGTCGAATATGGGAGCTGTTTGGTCGTAGCAGTGGAGACAAGGCAAGCATTGTGTCCATATGATGCCGCTTCCGGTGTCTAAGACAGCTTCGATCTCGACAGGAGGAGCACCGATTTGTAGTTTCATTAGATACTCGGACTTATCAAAGACGGTGTTAGCATACGGAGATGATCCATCACCAGTATCAGAGGGTCGAGGAAAAGAGAAGTTAGAGCGACGGTGGATTAAGTCGATGGTGATACCGCCGAGAGGTGATGATGAGGCTGTGGTGGTGGTAAAGAGAAAAAATGTAATGATTTGAAAAAAGAGAACGATTATCGTGGCTACAAGAGACATGCTTGATCGTATAATATTTTTTTGGGTTTTGAGAGACAATGATATATATATACGTCTTCGTTCATGCACATATATATACGTACGTCTTCGTTCATGCACGTATTAGATATTTTGTCGTAATTGTTAGTTATCCTGATTTGTCAACTTCGTCAAGTTTTGTTATATATACTACTGTCTTGTAATCAAATAGAAAATTGCAATGACAACATTTCATGAACTTAGCTTCCAGAAAAACAGTGGAAATGGTCCTTGGAATGAATTATGAACCAAGCTTTGTTCATGCATGTATATACACACACAACAGATCCTTTGTCGTAATTGTTAATTATCCTGATTTGTCAACTTCGGCAAGTTTTGTTATTTATACTACTGTCTTGTAACAAAATAGAAAATTAAAACCACAACATTTTATGAACTTACCTAAACTGGAAATGGTCCTTGGGATGAATTTGAACCAAGCTTTGTTCATGCACGTAATTGATTTGGAGTTGAACGAGGAAGATAGTGGGGGAGTAAGTATTTCAAGGGGAATTTCGAGAGGTTGGTGAAGATTAAAGGTGAGTTTGATCCTGAGAATTTCTTCAGGCATGAACATAGTATTCCAGATTCGTTGATGGAATGAAGTTTGTTTTGGGTTTAAAATTAAAAAAAAATATATAGAGAAATCGTGTAAGATGAATCTCTCATCTGAGAGACTATAAAATACACTTGAGTGCAATGTTTTGAAATCCGATCCGGATCGGCCGGTTCACTCGGTTAAACCGGGATCCGGTCACTTATCCGGATCGGTTCTACTCTTAAAATCTAAAAGTTATTAATTCGGTAAAATCCAAAAAAACCCGCAAATAATCTTTAACCAAGTAATTTGTTGATCCGGTTAAACTAGTAATTTCATTTTTTTAATAAAAAAATATCTTTAATATAAATAATCTATCATTAAATTATAAGGTTTTGTGATTTTTGTTAAGTTTTAAAGTTTGTAATTTGTATCAATATTGAATCTTTTTTTAGCTGTTTGTGTTATGTTTTGAACAATTTATGTTATGTTTTTTATATTTAGCAATTTGTTCAGTTTATATTATGTTTTTTATATTTAAATCTATTTTTCAATTTTTAAAACTATATAATATATATATTATATAATTTTTTATTAATTAGTTAATCCGTAGTTGATCCTGATAAACCCATATAGATCTGGAAACCCAGTAATTCGATAGACATTCCGGTTTGCTTTCCGGATCGGATTTCAAAACATTGCTTGAATGAGAAATTCTCTTTAACACTTGTCTATTTAGAAATTATCCAATTTTTTATAATTCAAATTTTAATTATATAGATCGAATTGCATTAAAATATTAATTTTGTATTGATGAGAAACTCAAAACAAATCTTTCACTATGCTCTAATCAAAGTCCGAACTTCATTGTGGAACTCAATAGCGTAGTCATCATTAAAAAACAAAAACATACTATTTTAATAAACGAAGTTTAGTTAGAATACACAACTGAAGCTATAAAAAACTTTAGAAGTGCTTTAACAAACAAAATAAAATAAATTTGTAGAAAGAGACGGTATTGGTTTATATTCTCTTTAACCGTACAATGCAGAACAATCGGTGGACTTAAAAGAAACAAGCTGTGAAGAAGTATCATAACCAACCAACCAATTGTTCTGTGCTCTGTTTCCAAAGATTGCATCACCACAGATAATCGCCAAACAATACACATTTCCATTCTCCACAAACATATTGTACTTATCCAACGCAAGATCAGCACCTCCCGAGAAATGCATTGTGAACACCGGAAATATATTTATGTCGTTGGTATTGTAGCAAAGCAGCTCACCCGAAGAAGTTGCTCGTTCAGCTTTCACAGCATTGCCAACAGCATCCTTCACCTTGTTGCAGTAGCTATCGGGCAAGTACGTGTAAGTGCTTCCAGAGTCTATGACTATGTTTCCTTCTGAAGAGTGAAACGTTGTCCCTAACGTCTCAACTCTAGTATTCCCAACGCTGATCGCGTCTAGGTTAAGGTAATAGGAGTCATCCCTTCTAAACATAGTGGTTGCTACACTATCTCCCGCCACAACAGCATTAGCTCCAAAGTTGAATTTACTAGTTCCTTTACTGGAAAAGCAATAAGAGAAAAGACCGGGGTAGTTTCCTCCCATCTGTGAGATGAGCGATAAAGATCCCCAATCTAGACCAACAATGCCCGAAGCGGCCTGGGGCATAGACTGCATAGTCCCTGAGTTGTTGTGGCCACAACCAATGGTGGTTCCGGCCATCACAAAGGGCTTTCCTGAAGTTGACTGGATGGTGATGGTCTCGGTCGCGAACGTTCCTTTGGAGTAGGTTTCGTCTGCGTAGACAACTTCGTAAGGACAGGTGTGGTCTGGTTGGTCGACGCATTGTTTCTCTTTGTAGGTTGAGGATTTCGAAGGGTCGAATATGGGAGCTGTTTGGTCGTAGCAGTGAAGACAAGGCAAGCATTGTGTCCATATGATGTCGCTTCCCGTGTCTAAGATAGCTTCGATCTCGACAGGAGGAGTACCGATTTGTAGTTTCATTAGATACTCGAATTTATCAAAGACGGTGTTAGCATACGGAGATCCATCATCAGTGTTAGAGGGTCGCGAAAAAGAGAAGTTGGAGCGACGGTGGATTAAGTCGACGGTGATACCGCCGAGAGGTGATGATGAGGCTGTGGTGGTGGTAAAGAGAAAAAATGTAATGATGTGAAAAAAGAGAACGATTATCGTGGCTACAAGAGACATGCTTGATCGTATGATTTTTTTTTTGGTTTTGAGAGACAATGCTATATGTTTTCTTTCATGCACGTATATATATTTGTCAACTTCATCTAATTTTGCTAAATTTTATTACTGTCTTGTAACCTTTAACATGCATGACCGATCGTTCAATTTTGGCTGCAAGACAGTAATGAAAATGACAGCCAATTTCGTCCATATTTGTTATTTTCATTACTGTCTTGTTAACTTGAAGAAGTTTACATTTTATTGCTATTATTTTCAACTACTAATGCTATATGTCTTCGTTCATGCACATATATAACATATTGGACATTTTTTTATTAATTAATTTTATATATAACTCATAATAAATCACAGGTAGGGAAGGATCAGATTAATCGTGGAAAAAATGCAGTCCACGGATAAATTCTCTTTTCATATATGTAAATGGATCGAAAGTAAAAGTTGATATCCAAGATAATGTGTTTAAATTACGCGTAACAGGTGGATCGAATTTAGAGTGTGTTAGTACCCCAATCTCATCTCTTACCACTCAACCACAAGACCCCAAACATATTGGATATTTCTATTATTGTTTTGTAACTTGTAAAAATTTACAAATTGTTACCAACTTTTACATTTTTTTTTTGTCAACTACTAATATTATACGTATTAGAGATTGATACGTGCATTTTTAATTGTTAATTTAATTTCAAACTTTATACTTTATATATTTGTCTTTCTTTTTTAATGTTATTTTTATTTTTTTATTATCCTACTATATATATATATATATATTAAAATCTTTTTTCTAATATAGATTGTGATGTGTTAATTATTAAAAAATCATCTCATATATTTATACACTGTAATAAGTATGTATTCAATTAGTTTTTTCTCTTTTTTTACAAGTTATTTTCATAAATCAATTAAGTGAAATCACTATTGATCCCACTTACTTTAAGCAAATATTCCCTTAATTATTACATCGATTCTTAAAACATCTCTTTCATTTTTTAAGCACAAAAATTTAATTTTTACATATTGCTCATAGTTCTATTATTTCGATTACAATCTACCAATTTTTTCTATTATTTCATGCAAAGTTTTCATCTCATTCAGTTTTATGATTGGTTGTAATTCTAAATGAGGAGAATCGTAGTTAGAGTGAGTGAAAAGATCATAAGATATGTTCATATGTTACATAAGTTTAATAGGTTTTTATTTTAAAAACTTATGCTTACTTGATGAATTGTTGATTTTAATTGATTTGAGATATTTTTTTAATTCTACTATCTAACTATGTTTGCAAATGTATATGAGAATATTTTTGTCTATTTTCAATGTCATGTGAAGATAAACAATCTAATTATAAGTGGCTTAAATCAAAGTCAAAACTTCATTGTACTCATCATTAAAAACAAAACCATATTATTTTAGTAAATGAAGTTTGGATAGAAAATACAACTGAAGTTATAAAAAACTTTAAAAGTGCTTTAACAAACAAAAATAAAAATAAGTGTAAAAAGAGACGATATTGGTTTGTATTCCCTTCAACCCCACAATGCAGAACAATCGGTGGACTTAAAAGAAACAAGCTGTGAAGAAGTATCATAACCAACCAACCAATTGTTCTGTGCTCTGTTTCCAAAGAATGCAAGCGCATTCGGACCACCACATACAATCGCCAAACAATACACTCCTCCTCCATTCTCCACAAACATATTGTACTTGTCCAACGCAAGATCAGCACCGCCCGAGAAATGCATTGTGATCGCCGGAAATATCTCTATGTCGTCGGTAGTGTAGCAAAGCAGCTCACCCGAAGAATCTGCTCGTCCAGCTCGCACAACGTTACTAACAGCATCCTTCACCTTTTTGCAGTAGCTCTTGGGCAAGTACGTGTAAGTGCTTCCAGAGTCTATGATTATGTTTCCTTCTGAAGAGTGAAACGTTGTCCCAAATGTCTCAACTCTAGTCTTCCCAACGCTGATAGCGTCTAGGTTAAGGTAATAGGAGTCATACCTTCTAAACATAGTGGTTGCTACACTATCTCCCGCCACAACAGCATTACCTCCAAAGTTGATTTTACTAGTTCCTTTATGGGAAAAGCAGTAAGAGAAAAGACCGGGGTAGTTTCCTCCCATCTGTGAGATGAGCGATGAAGATCCCCAATTTAAACCAACAATGCCCGAAGCGGCCGGGAGCATAATCCCTGAGTTGTTGTGGCCACAACCAATGGTGGTTCCGGCCATCACAAAGGGTTTTCCTGAAGTTGACTGGATGGTGATGGTCTCGGTCGCGAACGTTCCTTTGGAGTAGGTTTTGTCTGCGTAGGCAGCCTCGTAATGACAGGTGTGGTCAGGTTGGTCGACGCATTGTTTCTCTTTGTAGGTTGAGGATTTCGAAGGGTCGAATATGGGAGCTGTTTGGTCGTAGCAGTGAAGACAAGGCAAGCATTGTGTCCATATGATGTCGCTTCCCGTGTCTAAGATAGCTTCGATCTCGACAGGAGGAGTACCGATTTGTAGTTTCATTAGATACTCGGACTTGTCAAAGACGGTGTTAGCATACGGAGATGAACCATCGTCAGTATCAGAGGGTCGAGAAAAAGAGAAGTTAGAGCGACGGTGGATTAAGTCGACGGTGATACCGCCGAGAGGTGACGATGAGGCTGTGGTGGTGGTAAAGAGAAAAAATGTAATGATTTGAAAACAGAGAACGATTATCGTGGCTGCAAGAGACATGCTTGATCGTATAATAATTTTTCGTTTTGAGAGACAATGATCTATATGTCTTTGTTCATGCACATGTATATATACGTCTTCGCTCATGCACAAATATATACATATACAGTATTGAACCTTTTATTGTAATTTTTTTGTTTTTGTCAACTATAAATCAGGACATATTCTGTGGTAATTGTTATTCAATCATGGATTTTAACAGAATTAACTCACAATTCAATGTAATTCAACTAATGATTTTAAATTATGTCTTAGAATCCAGTGTTATTAGATATTTTATTTGTAAATTATACTTAAAAAGTTTTTAAATTTGGTGTTATTCAATTAAAATTTTAAATATAAATCAAGACATATACAATATTAAATCTTCTGTCGTAATTGTTATTCAATCATGGATTTTAACAGAATTCATATTGAATCACAATTCAATGTTATTCAATCAATGATTTTAAATTATGTCCTAGAATCCAGTGTTAGATATTTTATTTGTAAATTATACTCAAAAAGATTTTACAATTTGGTGCTACTCAATTAAAATTTTAAATACTACACTAAAATCCAGTGTTATTAAAAAACTAAATAACTTTAAAAATCTTTGCATATAATCATTAGAAGCAAAATTCAAAACAAACTGCAGAGATTTTAGAATCCACACACATGAATTTTGAAAAACAACATTAAAACTTAAAATCTTGAAGATTATAAAACTTTATAGAATTGAGTTTAAATCAATAATTGAATAGCACCCCTCTTAATTATCCTGGTTTGTCAACTTCGTCAAGTTTTGTTATTTGTACTAGTACTACCGTCTTGTAACCAAATAGAAAGTTACAAGCACAACATTTTATGAACTTAGCTTCCAGATAAACTGTGGAAAATGGTCCTCGGAATGAATTTGAACCAAGCTTTAACTCACCTAACACTATTCCATCAGCTACTTCAACAAAACCGTCGAAGCTGGTGAAAGAATTATTGTTTGAAATATCAACAAAACCGAGAGTCATCAAGACTGCATATTCGATATATAATTGGGGATTGGCCCATAGAAATTGTTGTGGCTAAGATCTAAAGAGAAATAGATTTTGGGATCAGAAACCATCAAGATTGTTTCGGCAAATATCTAGACGTGTATGGTCAGACAATGAGGATAAAAGGCATAGTCATAGATCGTTCACATGACTTCCTCAATCCATAATCAAGTTAAAAAGTCAAAAGAACTAACAAAGATTCTTACATATACAGAGAAATACAGGAAGTTAACGATTAGTAATATATACGGGAATGGTAGAAAAATCGAAACCTTCATTGATATATATATGCATCCTCGAACCCCCCAATAAAAAAAAACCAGTCAATGATGACTAATCAAAAAGTGAAAGACATCCAAAATTTTACTGTTTTTGATGATTTTTTTTTTTTTTTTTTTTTGAACCGAGGAATCAGCTAACAACACAGAGGTTATGTAGAAACCTATTTGCGAAACCTCGTTGTTCGTCGTTCAACAGAGTGAACCACTTGGTAATCAGATTGGCTGGAGCAGATAAGCGTTGGTCGACGCAAGAAGGAGCCATGGCGGTTTTCCCTTGAAAGACTAATGAGAAATCCAGCTGCAGCGTCCTCAGGAGGGAGAGCACGGTTGCGAACTGGACTGCAAAACCGGCTTCTAGTGTCCTCTTACACTGCAGAAATGCTGTCAGTTTCTCTCTCAGGTTCGAGATTCCTTCATTTTCGTAGCCACCAGGATCCACTCCAATACTGTACAATCCAACAGAGATTTTGGTTACTATTTAACATCAGATTGGTCTTTCTGTATTATAAGACACAAAACTATAATGTTTATTACCTGATAAGTTGTCCAAGAAAAATGACGATAGCAAAAGAAAACTTCGTTGGCAATGGCATTCCCAGGATCTTAAGCAGCGGTGCAACAATGTTCGCTCTAGTCCAATCCCATGCCTGCATTTTATATATAAAGATTTGACAACAGAAATTAGTAAAAACATTACGTGAAGATTTTGGAAATGCTCTTTGAAAAAAAATTCTCAACTACATACCGTGTAACAAGCAAGAAGCTCCACCAGTATCAGAATGTCGCATAACGTATTAGTTCGATTCCTGGCCAATGCCCACTGGAAATCTTCGAGTGCCGGCCTATACTCGGTCTTCTCGGTCACGCTCTGATGCAAAGTAATAGACTGAGAAAACTCCTGAATCGTTTTCATGAGCATGGATGCTGCAGACTCCAGCGAGGAAGACATGTCTGAGAATGGACACTTGTTCTTGCCCGGGTGCAACTTCGCATTTGCCTCCACATTACCAAAATGTCTGTTCTCTAGAAACATGACAATGCATTTCAACACTGGAATTGATATGTCATGATCACCACTTGTGGAAATCATCTTCTCTCCGGCAATGTAAGCAAAAATGTGAAGAATGGTCAGTGTCATTGAGCTCTCCTCGTGGCTCTGCTGATACAGGATTTCACAGGAAGCTTCACGGATAAATCTAACACGATCCAGCGCCGTACATATTGCCGCCAAAATAGCACTTCCAGCCACCAAATGATCAGTAAGAGCGACTCTGCTGGAGAGAAATCCATTCGGGGTGACAGGGAAGCTTAAATCAGATTCAGATGTTTCTGAGGAATTAACAGAAGATAATACCCTCTGCTCAGAAAGAAACTCCTGAAGAAGACTAAGGAGTTCTTCCAAAAATCCACAGAGCACACCTTTAGCTTCAATATCAGCGACAACTACACAAGAAAATTCCAAAGTTCAACAAATTAAACTTCAAATCAAAAGCAGATTTAAATATTTGAAATTGAGAGGAAAAAGAAAAGAAAAATGGTTTTGGGACATACCACCATATATATGCTTTGAGAAAGAATCCAAGCAGGAGCAAGAATCATCATCCAGAGTGTTCCCAGTCTTTATTGTGGAAACCACAGAGAAGTTATGTAGCAGCAAGGAGAGGAACACACATGCCCTTTCCCTGAAAATAATAAAATCATATATTAGCGCCCAGAGACTAGTTTACTGATGGAGTTTGAAAAAGGTAATATCTATCAACATTATGTATTGAAAAAGCACCAGAGAGCAGAATAACTTACTCGGCGAAAAGGTTTCCTTCCGTTTTCAAAGTGAACAGAATAGCGGGCACTGCCCACTGTGCTCTAGTAACCGATGGGCATCGTTGAATACAACTGTTTGTAGCATGGAAAATTTTGATGATACTATCCTGGTCTTCAAGACTTGAATACACAACGAAGTGTTTAAGAATATGATCATGCACTGCTGTTGACTCAGCTGGCAGTATGACAGTCACTAAAGCATTCTGAGTGTTGAGACTATGAGGCATAGTGGCAGCTAATCCAACTCTAATTGGCACAGCTTCACTAGAATTTATGGTGTCACATAAATCCACGCTATTATTAGCAACCAAGTCAAGAGGCCTAGCAGGATTGTTTACCTCAATCACGGTTTCACTACCTAAAAAGTCTACCTGAGGAAGATCCGGGGACAGAAGCGATTCTCTAGCCATCCTGTAAAGATGTTCTTCTTCCGGTGTATCCAACTCCAGCAACTTCATATAATCCGTAGCAATAACGTCCTCCAGAAATAATGTAGCCGCATCATGTCCTTTAGCAGTAGAGACGGACATAGTTTTCTCAGCCACCTGTGTACTTCCAGCTTTGTCACCTGTCTCGGCTGACAGGTTAAACTCAAGAGAAGTCGGCATAATTGTCTTCTTCTCACAAGGAACCTTTCTTTTCTTGGAAGTTGTAATGCAGTTTCCAGAGGAGCCGCCTTGCATATCAGGGACCAAGGTTTCTTCCTTTTCTAAAGGCCTATACCCAGTTTCTACTACCATAGACTGCAAGGTGCTCAGCTTGTCTCCAATCTGTAACTTTTTATTTTTATCATCAGATAACAGATGCTTCCGAGACTCAACTGCCTCTGACATTCTTTTTCTTTTTCGAGGATGCTCTACCTCATGACTATCTCTCTGGCGACTTTGAAGAGAGTTCTCAGCCACCAAACAGAGATTTCCATTTTTCCTGGTATCAACTTTCTTCAACATACTTGATTCTGTTGGTTGGATATTCAGTTTATCTTTAGCTACTTCTGCTGAAGTAGTGACAGATAACTGCTCTTTTCCCTGTGAGGCCAGTGACTGCCCATCAGAAAAAGATGTTGCGCTGGAAATTACTCCAGAAATCTGTAATTCTCTAGACCCTCCAGTAAGAGAATCCAATTGAGAAGTAGTACCTGAGACAGACTCACTCACGCCCCGTCCAGATATAGGAATTAACTGGGCAGCAAACTTGCGAGCCTGGTCCTGAGAACCAGGGCTGGCTACCAAATGGCGTCTTGCGTCAGAATGCTCTTCACCATCACGGTTCTTCTGGGATTGTAGCATCGGCAGTTTCATGCATCCCTTCGCCTGCAAATCAATAAAATGAAACATAAGTAGACTATTAAGGAACTCAAATGATCAAAACGACAAAGTATAAAAGCGATACAAGTCCATGCCACTATGTTGTGTTGTGAAATAATCCATGCTACTATATAGGACACTAATTCAAAGACTAAACCAGATTAGATCTTCTCACCTTCTATAGTCAGATTCAATGTTGCTAACAACTTAAACAGACTAGAGCCTAAGTGTTCATACTCAGATAATTTAAACTAACTGTTTCAGCCAAATGGAGAAAGTTTGGGCCAAACACATAAACCTAGGATATTCTCTAAGGAAGACAGAAATAGTCAGCATGATTCTTTTTTTATCCACCATGTAACCTAATGTCCGACACCCAGTAACAAAGAAAGTATCAAATGTCAGAACATGTCTATGCTCATCAAGCCAATTTTCATATTAGGATGAAAAGAAAGTATAGAGTAGGAAATTTGAAGCATCAACAAACCTTTGCAAGACCAGCTGTATCTTCAACGCCTCTTGAAGGATACTCACCCAGTAAATTCAAGCGATTTGTCATACTACCGAACTCCAGTTTCAACCGACCTATCTCTTCCTCCTGAATTTCCCTTCGAGATTTTTCAAACTCAGCCACTTTTTTAAAATGCTTTGCACTTTTCTTCTCCAAGTTCAGCTCTTTTTTCAAAAGCCTCACTTTAGCCTTTTCCAGATCTCCGACTTTATGAGGAGGAACAGAACGACTCTCGGTGGATTTCTGGGAAAGTGAAAGCTCATGCAACTGTTTTTTCAAACCCTCAGTCACTAGCTGTGCTTCTCTTAACTGCTGAGTCAGATCATCAGCACGAGACTTCCATTCCATCGCGGTTTTCTTATTCATCTCAAGGAGCTTTGTCTTCTCTTCCAGTTTTGCTGAGTTTTCAGCAGATTTTACTTTGCTACTAGCGCTCTGCAATTCTGCATCTTTCTTGAGCTCTTCATTTCTAGCTCTAATAATCTCAAACTTCTTAGACAACTCTTCTGCCAGCTTTATATGTTCCCTAGCTTTTCCACTCTCCATCTCTGCACGTTTTCTCTCTTTCAGTGTCTTTTGTTTTTCCAACTCAAGCTGCTTTTTAACAGTCTCAAGATTTGAGGTCACCATACGCAAATCCGAAAGATACTGATCAGCTTTCTTTTTTTCTGAATCTGCTTTCTCCCTCTCTGACTCTGTCTTCTGCCTCTCGCTTGCAAGAATACTTTTAATCAGACTTATTTCCTTCTTCAGTTCAGGAAATTCTGGCTTGATATCCTCATATTTTACCATTGCAGCCTTTGTCTTGTTCAATTCTTTACAAACCTTTTCCCTCTCTTCTTCAGAATTATCAGCCCTCAATGTTTCTTTCTTAAGGAGGTCCTTCAGCTCACTGATCTCTTTTTCTCTACTAGAAGCTTTATCCTTAATAAGCTTTGTTTCTTCACTTTTCTTTTTAAGGTTTTGCGCCAACCTTTGTTGCAAAGACAATACCTCAGATTTCAGATCAGAGATTTCTTTCTCCATAGATGCTTTCACCGCAGAATCAATTCCCTTAGTGTCTCTGTCAGCCTCCACAAGTTCTGTAAAATGTAGATAGAAAGTAAGCAGTGAACACTTAAAAATGACAATGAGATTGAGAACTATCGTAATGACAACATTTCTCCACTCAAGACACACACAGCCAAGCCTTGAAGCATATAGAACACATCACTACTAGCTAGATCATCCAATTAATCGCACATAAATCATCAATAGGTGAAGAACTAATGCTACATCAAACCAAAGACATGTGGCATACAGCGATAATCTTCTCTAATGTCTATTGCTAACCTCAAAAATATCAGGGCATATACAGAATCACAAACACATCAAAAAGCAGCAAACTAATCCCTGCCACTAGTAATGAAAGGAACTTAATCTCTGTCACTAGCTACTTCTATACATTGCCATACTTTCACAAAGTTCACCAACATTCTCCTACTAACATCGTTTCAAAGTTCCAATTCAGAAGCATCTCTATAGCTCTATCAATATATAGTTTTAACAGAAAGAAAGCCGAGAACCGTATGCACTTACTTTTCTCGACATTGGCTTTCTCCATGGCCTGCTGGAGAATATCTATCGCTTGTTTACAGTAATCACGCCTCTTCTTCATGGCTATGTACTTCTCTTGCCACTGAAATATAGTCGAAGGGGATTAGCAGAAACAAGAAAAACACTAAATACCATAATGGGGTGAAAATCGATTATTCAGGGAGAATACTTACCGCGAGGCAGCAAGGGTTTCCTGAAGCCAGCTCAGGTGGAACATTGGCCGCCATTGTTGGAGAACTCCTCCGATCCTCGAACGAAATCTTACATAAACGGAAAATTCATCGACATTATACAGATGCTGAGCAACGAGAGAGAACCAAATTCGAAAAAATGAAATTCGAAAACCTTAAACCCTAAATTTCAGTGAGCATAAAAGCTACAGAGATTTGACAAGAAAAAGGCATAGAGGAGGAGTCGGATGAAACCGCCAGCGGTTGGATCTCGGGTCGGGTCGGTGAGTGAGTGCTGATTTAATATCATTAACCAGGCCCAAGCCCAATATATGCTTACTTTCCCTCTTTCCTTTTCTTTTTTCAACTAAATTGTTATTATCAAAACTTAAACAACTTTGCTAGCTTTGTATTCTCTATCTGTAAGAGCATTCGAGTGGTAGTAGATACTTTCAAGGCTATCTCAAAAAAAGGAAAAACTTATTTTTAAATCATAAAAAGATTTAAATCAATCACTAAATAACACATATTAGAAAAGTATCTCAAAAATTTAGAACCGGTTCTTAAATAAAAAGCGATCCTCTTCAATATGGGTGTTCTAACCAATCTTAATCTTTCAATATTCACCAAATGACAAAGAGAAACAACTTCATAAGAAAATAAACGCTAAAAAAGAGAGAAAACAAACTCAATCAAGCAAAGACATATTCCTGAAAACAAATCTAACAAAACTTATATTTTTACCAGAAACAAATTATTATGAAACGAAAACGAGAAATAATGAATATATCGCTGATAAATCAAAAGTATCAAAACCAAATTGTTGAACCAAATCTTACCTACAGATTATGATCTTAGATTGTAATCGTCGGAACTATACGGAAAAATGTATGAGATACAAAAATGACTGAAACCAAAATTAACATGAACCGATTTTAATATATGCTTTTATACTAATAGTTTAGTTGTTCCTATATTTATATAGATTTCTTTCCAAAATTTGCAAAACATATTATTGTATTTCCTATTTTTATTATATAAGACTTTTTAGTTAAAAATACGTAAACTAAGAAAATAAATCTTTACAAAAATTAAAAGCAATCCAAAAAGAAGAAAAACGTAAATGCAAATCTTTATTACCATATTTTCGGTCAACTTTTTTATTAATATTAAAATTAAATAAATTGAAGATTTAAAATATATTTAAAAAATCTAATAAAAATTTTAGATGACGCGTGGAGCTGTATGTGAAAATATAATAAATAAAAAAAATTAAATGGTCTATCCTCTTAATTTTTTTATTTGTTAGATTTTCTTTAATATTTTCATAATTTATTTTATATAGAAAATAATAAAATTTGTGGTGGTTTGTGAATCCATAAGTGAAAAGGATTGATTCGATGACACTTGCAAAACCCTCAGGTGGTTGTCATAGAGGTTATTGATTCTAGAAAGCTTCTTTTGGTTCTTTGGTGCCACAATGATAGCATTAGTCCAATGATTCAGCGTGATAGACTCTCAATATCAGAGTTTTCATATGTCTCATTCTAGGATCATGGTTTTGCTTAAGACGACAACAGATCCTTGGATCGGGATTTTCGATTTCGGTTTTTTTTTTTCTAGTTTAGATCAGTTTTTAAAGCAAATTGCATTTCGGTTTAGTTTTGTAATTAGACTCATTTTGGATATTGATTTAAAATTTATGTTGTATATTCAGGTTTATTATTAATGAAAATCCTCTATAAACAAATGAAACAAGAACAAAAAAAATCCTAAAAAAAGGTATTTAATTTCTAGATCTTCGATTTATTTGGTTTTGTTGAAATCAAATCAAATAAATTGAAGATTTGGTATTTAATTTTGAAAGTTCACACAAAACGAAGTCGAAACCCGAGTTGTCCTAAAAGTACTAAACCCTCTCGCCTGTGTTGCAACACCGTCCCGACAGGGATAGCCGAGAACATGGGTCATCTCAACTCTCAAATGCATGTCAAAGTCTGTCTTTTTTGTTCGTAGAACTGGCACTAATTCGCGGTCATTTAATAATGAAATACTTTGCTGTTTCTTTTAAAAATAAAAATGTGCGTTACTCCGTTGCAATCTGATAAATGATTACTTATCCAATACAGTAATCAATGTATCTGCATTGTTGATTATCATCTCATTTCTCTGTGTTCAAATGTAGTCATCCACTGCAATTTCCTTGAGAAAAAGTTGACGAGTAACATTCAAGATATAAGACCAAAGACAAGTATTACACGTTAGCACTTAGTACATAACTAAAGATTTCTGATTGCTTTCGCTGAGAAACACACCAAAAAACTATGAAATAGGATGTGAAGCATTGATTTACATAGACAGTGATCCAAACGAAAGCACAGATGAACATCTAAAAACGTATAAGGATGATTAAATAATTTTAAGATTAAAATGTATTAAAGATATCCTTTTTCGTTTTGCATCTTAGTACTATTGCTCTCTTTTGGGGGCTTTCGTGGTGGGAAGTGTCCCAAACACTATGTCCCATAACGACGAGGTTATACCAAATCCCTTGTCCTGAATCCTGAAGTGATGGTTCAAATGGTATTTCTGCAGAAAAACATAAAACACACAACGAGTAAGTTATAAGTGCAGGACTTAGGTCAGAGAAGAAAAATATAGTCCCGGGTTTTAGAGACTTGTCCTTGTTTTACCTTGAGATTTTTGGTCACAGCTCTAGTTGGTTGGGCATGGTGAAGATAGTAGTGAGTGACATCGTAAATCACATACCCGAGCATGCCGCCCCCAAACAACGCAGGTGTGGTTGAAGGAGTTGCGAAAAGCTTCACGATGTTCCAGAACTAGGACACGAGAAAAGAAGACGGTTTATGGTTTATTCGTTGAAAACATGTATAATGGCGGGACAATGTAGATGAATAAAGCGCTTACAGGAAAGCATAGAATCGCTGTTGCAGTAGGGGGAAAGACGAGTCGAAGGTGGTCCATCGGGTGCTTGTGATGGCATCCGTGAAGAAGATAGTGTGCCGTGTTTCCCCTGGAATGGTACCACAACAACATTAGAACCTAACTGGAATCAGAGAGTATCCAAGTATTTTCGTCGAGATGAAGAGGAGGATTCACAACATAGAGAGCGAAAGACGAACCAGTAACTCTTGGTTTTGATGTGGAAAAGGAAACGGTGAAGAGAGTACTCTATAAACGTCCAGATAAATATTCCCAAGGCTACCAATGGGACGATTTCTGGAAGTGAACGGCCCATGGTTACTGACATCGAGATGCACCAGACTGAAACTGGCAACCAAATGACAGGAACAGCCCACCAAACCGTAAGGGTCAAGAACTGTTCCATTGCAAATATGTCAGAGAATGGAGACCAGAGGCTTATTGACATTACTGGAAAAAAAGGAGAAAGAAAATGACATACCTCCCAAAAGTCACTCTGGAAAAAACGAGGGCCTTCCTTTGTCACAATAGGTTGGTGAACCCATTCCTCGTAAGCTTCTCCAAGATGACCAACCTGTGAAACATCCAAAGCAATGACAAGACGGGTTAACAAACAAGGGAACATAAATATAATTAGCTTTAAGAAATAAGAAGCAAAAAAAAAAAAAAAAGTTTCGAGGCAACGTTGACATAGACTATTTACCTGAAATACAAGGGGCTTATTAAGATCAACAGTGAATCCCTGAGCAACCATTTTAGTAGACCTTTTACAAAACTGGAAAAACAAAAAATGAAAACATACTATCAAGACAAAATCCAGAAATGGTGCAACGCTCTTACATCACTGTAATTCTTTCGTAGAGGAACACAAAGTGACATAATAAAACACCTGATGTCAGCTTCAACAGGTAAATATATATAAACCTACAAAATTCTCTTCACTATCTTAACTCCTTTTTTTCCAGCGGAGAATTTGTTTCTCATCATCGCCAGATTAGAGGCACAGTATGGGTGTAATGATTGATAAGATAGTTAAAACTTAATTGTTCTTGTATAGGAATATCCAAATCACGTCATACAATTATAAAACTGAGCTAACTGGTCCCACGACAAGACCCAAAAAAATTTGAAATCCAAGCACAAAAGTAAGTGTTAGTTGAAATCCAAATGAAATACGACCATTAATCATTAAAAAAAAGAACTAGAAGGTATGATACAGCTTATATGTACTTTTCACTCATTCTCCTCCAAGGACCCACCCCACCACCAAATACATAAGCACCAAAAAAAATATACATACAACTAACAATCCAACGAACACACAAGTTAACATCAAGGAATCAAAACACACAGCACAAAGCTTCTCACTATCTGCACTGTTCCAAACAAAATCTATAAACAAAAAAAAACCTTGTACGCTAGAACCATTGGAGAAAACTTGGGAACCATAGAGCTTAATCGAACTTCTTCTCATTGAAACATTCACAAAACTTGCAGTGAGTGAGAGGCAATGAGGTTTCACGTTTCACATCCAAGAAAACAAATTGAGGTGAACCCTATTATAATAACCACACAGTGGCTAATCTTGATACCTTTCCCTCTACGACCAACCTTTAGAGCAATTTTATTTGGCCAAATTAGCCCTCAACAACACAATGCGATATGAAGTTTTGAGAGGCTTTATGATTTGTTCGTTCGTTCGAAGGATGGATGTTCCGATCTAAACACTTAGCGACAAACCCTAGCTATCGAATTCGGTGGAAATCTCAATGTGCCAGAAAAGTGAAGAAATCTATTAAGAAATCGAGAGGGGAAACAATGGAATAGAATAAGAAGCAACAACAAACCTAGTGGAGAAGTGCCGGATCTCGGCGACTCTGACGAAACGACAGCCGTCGGAATACGAGAGAACCGCCGGGAGCTTTTTTGATCGGCCCTTTTTTGCGTGTTTTGTGGTTTGCGTTGGGGGTTGTATTTGACAGAGACGATGTCTCCAATAAAATCTATCTTGTATAGAGGAGCTGAATCGAATCTGGACCGTCGGTTAGGAGAGACGCCTTAGATCTCGGGAGGAAGATTCAAAAGCCAACGAATCGTCGACTTCAACAATCAAAACCAACGGCTGTGCCAGGTTGTTTCTCTTTTGGCTCTTTTCATCGATATTAGCTGTACATTTTTTTTTAACGCTCCCTGTTTTTTCACTCTCAGGATTCCAAATTTGCACCTTTGTTAATAAATTATTACAGTTTTCATCTTTTACTTTTTCCATTACAGACTCAAATTCAATACAGAGAGAACACATGCTTTTCGTTTTCTATGATTTTTTTATTGATTAAAAAGTCAACAACAATTATGACTAATTATGAGAATAAAATGGATTTTGCCATCAAAGAAAGTTGAAGTTTATGGCCGCTCCTCCGAACCGTACGTTGTCTTTTTTTATTTTTATCTTGTAGATTCTAGATAAGATTATTTTAGACCAATTATTATAGACTTATAGTCTGAGTCTAACTTAATTCGCATTCCTTTTTGTTGCTTGGAAAATGATGTAACATATCTGTAATATTAACGTTTAAATACTCTTGCATGATGCATGTTTCGTTCTCCGTAAGTTGTTTAGCTATCAAGGCTAAACAAAGATTCTCCAATTTGCGAAAATAAAACATGCATAAGTCTCGGGGACACACATGCATTAGTGATTCTAGTCATATATTGTATATTGGATTGGTATAATGATCAAATTAGCCATATTCTGGAGCATGTAAAGTTTTTTTTTTCTTTTTTTCTTTTATGAGTTGTGTGACTTGTGTCATTTATCATTATCCCTGCATGCATGTGTAATGTGGGTAACTAAACCGTCATTTTCCAATTGGTGTAATGACTGATCTCGTAAAATGTGTTTGTAATAGGGGAAAAAATGACAGTGATCCGCAGCTGCTGATGTTGGTATCTGAATAAAATGTTTGTAATGTAATCAAATTGATCATTGATGATATCTCAAGCCTTGTCAACTAAAAGAAGCACCCATATGAAGTTTTTCCCAATATTAGTATTTTTATAGCAGAAAGCATTTAGCCTTCGACGTGTAGGAATTTTTTTTTCTAAAAAATAATAAAAACACACATTATATGGTAATGATCAATTCCTAAACCTGTTTATACCCACTAGCCACTGCGATGAGGTCGGTACGGTACGGTCAACTTTGCATGGCTACAAAACATGTAAAGGGTAAGCGGTAACCGGTTGTGCATCAATATAATTAACACAAAACAATTAAGCACACCATAGTAATTCAATCTTATTATCATTCTAAATAGACCCACACAAGAAAGGTATATATATGATTAAAGATCTATACGAAAATTGAAGATTGGCCGCTAGATAATAATAATACTTTTGATTGTTTATTGAGTAAAATCCACATTATTTGATGTGATTAATTGATTATGCTGTTTTAAGTTTTTGATGCGGCCTATTGTGACGAAGAACCAATCATCCACCACTAATATGTGGTCAGTGTCAACTGTCAAGTGTCATGTGAACAACCTTGGTTGGCCTCACTGTAATGACCTAGTCTTTGATTATAATAATTTTATATATGATGGAGAAACAATTATGTTTTCCCAATGCTTAAGATCCAAGATGTACCAAATACAGCAGATAAAATAACTAAACCAAATTTCATTTCATCGTTTCAATGTCTTTATTAGTCTCGTTAAAACGAGAATATGTCTTCCCTCGAGGACACTTGCTTTATATTCTAAAAAGAACATGGTAATCATAATTTGAACAATAATTATGTCATATCTAAATGTCAGAGACCATGAGCAGGTTGCTAATAAAAGTTTTTAATTTATCAATACATTAATGGGCGGGCATGTATAATGTTTTCCAACCAACTTTGGAAGTAGAGGGCAAAGTGCCATCTCATCTACAACTACAGTTGGTTATTTGATTTTAAAAATGGTTAAGACTATAACAACTTATCAATAAAAATGGTTAAGACTATAACAACTTTACAACTTAATAAGTAAAGTTTGTTTAAGTTTCAACTTTCTTTCTTTTTTTGAATAGCAAGTTTCAACTTTCAAGTGTGACAGTATCACAACAACTGATTTATATAACAATAATTTTGCAGTAGGAGAATCTATCTTCTTATCCTATTGTAGAGAACAGTCACTATCACAGCTCATTCCAAGACAGAATAACCAAAATTTGTTTTAAAAAAAAAGTTTCGATTTTCCAAAAATATCCCTATAAGCTTTGTTTTTTGGTTTTCCTTCGTATATAACTAGCTACCATCTGGAATTTAATCGGTACCCTTTCAAGTTCTCTGTACAACCTCTTTTGTTTATTGATCATCGTCTCCAGAAACAACGCAGAGGGTTTCTCTCGCGAGCGAAGTCAGTTTCCATTTGAAATTTTCCCGGGAAAATGAGAGAAATCCTCCATATACAGGGTGGCCAATGCGGCAACCAAATCGGAGCCAAGTTCTGGGAGGTGATCTGCAACGAGCACGGGATTGATCCGACGGGAAGGTACGACGGCGACTCCGATCTGCAGCTCGAGCGAATCAATGTCTACTACAACGAGGCAAGCGGTGGAAGGTACGTACCTCGTGCCGTCCTGATGGATCTGGAGCCTGGAACCATGGATTCCATCAGATCCGGCCCCTTCGGACAGATTTTCCGGCCAGATAACTTCGTCTTCGGCCAATCCGGCGCCGGGAACAACTGGGCTAAGGGCCATTACACTGAGGGAGCCGAATTGATCGACTCAGTGCTCGACGTTGTTAGAAAGGAAGCTGAGAATTGCGACTGCTTGCAGGGTAAACACTGATCCATTCTCTCCATTTCCATGTTTTCTTCCTCGATCGAGCTTAAATCCGCTTTTGATTTCGCCAAACGAATTGTCTAGAGTAATGAATTTGGTTGGTGTTCGTAATATTAAAAACGTCCGAATGAATTATGTTAAACATATACACATCTATAGCTTCTATCTTTTGAAGAGAGAGCACTGTGACATATAGATGATTAGACTTTTCAATTATCATTTGGAATACTAATTGCTTCCGTAGACATTGTTGTGTATTCTCTTAGTTCCATGGTTGTAAAGGTAGCTGTAATTTTCTTGAATAGGGTTCCAAGTTTGCCACTCATTGGGTGGAGGAACTGGCTCTGGCATGGGAACACTTCTCATCTCCAAGATAAGGGAAGAGTATCCAGATCGTATGATGCTCACGTTTTCAGTCTTCCCATCTCCTAAAGTCTCTGACACTGTCGTGGAGCCATACAACGCTACGCTCTCTGTGCACCAGCTTGTGGAGAATGCTGACGAATGTATGGTTTTGGACAATGAAGCTCTCTACGATATCTGCTTCCGCACCCTGAAGCTGGCCACTCCAACTTGTAAGTGGTTTCCTTTTTTCTTCTTTCTTTCATCATATCATCTTTAGGTGGGTTTGGAAGAATAATGTTTCAAATGTCAGTTATATTAGGGATTAAAATATGTAGTTACTGATTATAATCTGGACTAAAAGAGAGTTTTAAATCCCTTTTTCTTCTCGTAGGAAAATCTCAACATAGAGTCTAGAGTCAGAAGTAATAACTCGAAAATGATGTATTAAAGTAATCTAGTTTAGATCTACTACATCTCAGCTTAATAAACAATTACTAGTGGTATTAGTTGGGTTTGTCTCCTCCTCTCCATGTCTCTTGTACGATAAAAAAATAGTCTTAAATGTTCTTGTTTCTTATCACTAAGTCACTAACAAAGAACATCCAGAAAGTGGGTGACAGTTGATTTACACCACGAATTAACTCTCTTATCTTATTTCCAATGATCAAGAACGGATACTTTGATCTTTAGAGCATCAAGCTTTTCTTGCATGCAGCAAGTAACCTTGTATCTGCTTTGTTTATTCGCAGTTGGAGATCTAAACCACCTGATCTCTGCCACAATGAGCGGTGTCACATGCTGTCTTCGTTTCCCTGGTCAGCTTAACTCCGACCTCCGCAAGCTCGCGGTCAACCTAATCCCGTTCCCTCGCCTCCATTTCTTCATGGTCGGTTTCGCCCCTCTCACATCCCGTGGCTCGCAGCAATACCGTGCCTTATCAGTCCCCGAACTGACCCAACAAATGTGGGACGCCAAGAACATGATGTGTGCCGCGGACCCTAGACACGGACGCTACTTAACCGCATCAGCAATGTTCCGTGGCAAAATGAGCACTAAAGAAGTGGACGAACAGATGATCAACGTCCAGAACAAAAACTCCTCATACTTTGTCGAGTGGATCCCCAACAATGTCAAGTCCAGTGTCTGCGACATTCCTCCGAAGGGTCTCTCGATGGCATCCACTTTCGTTGGTAACTCGACTTCGATTCAAGAGATGTTTAGGCGGGTGAGCGAGCAGTTCACGGCGATGTTCAGGAGGAAAGCTTTCTTGCATTGGTACACAGGAGAAGGGATGGATGAAATGGAGTTTACCGAAGCAGAGAGCAACATGAACGACCTTGTGGCTGAGTATCAGCAATACCAGGATGCTACAGCCGATGAGGAAGAGTATGAAGAGGAGGATGGAGAAGAAGAACTCGATGCGTGAGATTTTTAGATGAGTTTGTACCAAAAGAATATTATTTTTTTTCGTATTTCGCTGGCTTTGATTGCTCTTTGTCTGTTGTTTTACGGTATTGTTTTGGGTGTACATTGTAATGAAAACTAATTTGTGGGTGATTCTGTAAACAGAAGATGAGGTTTTGCTTGTTTGGTCCAAATCTTTCTCGTGTTTGGTTTAAATGAATTTGGTTTGAAATTCTAGGCTTGACTTAATGACTTGTCCGATTAATATTAAAAAGTTAAAATAGCATGTAACCAAGAGAATGAAAATAAGCATAGGCTGAAGCCGCTGAACAAATTTAAAGCATTCATTGTCCCCGAAATTTTTTTTACGAAGCAACAAAACAAGATAGGGTCTCAAAGTCGTTTTCTAGAAAATAAATCTGAAAACATACAAAGCCTTAAAACTACAAGGACTAGACGAAGAAATATAAGAAATATAACAAATAAGGGTCTTTCCGTAAATAGAAGAGCTGCTGTAGTAATAAGGGTTTGGCGGAGTGAGTCGAATCTTTCTCTTCCCCAGCCTCCTCCCTCTCTCTGTCAAGCAGAAACTGTTTTTTCTCAAGCTGCTTCAATTACTCATCCTTGTGAGTTCTCTCACCCTTTCATCTCTGTGTATTTATGGTGGTTTTCTGTTGGAAAAGCTATAATCAATGGGAATTTTAGGTTTCTGGGGTTTGTTCTACTGATTTGGTTTTCGTGGTCTAAATTCAAATTGAGTGTTTATGGCCTTGATTATAAGCTCATGTGGGAAGTTGATAAATTTATCTTCACTTCTCTTTCCCATTAGAAAGCTCGGCTCAAAGATTTGTCCTTGTTTCGAGTCTGGATTCGTGTTGCATTTTAAAAGTGTTGTTTTTCACTTGTGAGTAGGTTATATAGAGACACATTCTTGGCTAGCTTTGAAGCAGCAGCAGCAGCAGATACACAGAGGATGGGAGCAGTAGAGGTTCTAACTGACCCATCGAGCCTATATGAGGCGGACTATGTGGGCAACGTTGATGTATCTGACACGGATATGATGCAATACGTGAGAAATGCCCTTGCATCTGTCAAAACAGTGAGTGTTGTTTGTACAAGTGTTGCTTTTCTTTCCTATGCTTTATGAGTTTGCATATATATGTTGATGCTATTTGTGTGTTTATTACCTTTGCTTACACCAGGGGGAATCAGACCGTTACGATGATCTTGTTAGAGCTCTTCAGATCAAAAACGTTTCTGATCCTGATGCAGGGGCACAGCTTGAGGTGTGTCCCTTTTTCGTTATACCACAATCAATTCTTTTTTTTTTTTTTGTATTCCCCTTTTTGCTAAAGTGTTTTCATTTTCTTTTGTTTTGGCAGATAGTCTTGAAGGCTCTATCAAGCTCCGTGGCTTGCATAGATGTCATTCACCATCGGAAGCTTCTTTCTTCGGTAACTCTTTTCTATTGCATATGCTTACATTTGCTTCTAGTTAAATTAACTTTAAGATGGATTCTCCAAGCTTTTACCTTTGATTTCATCCCAATTATTATTATGTTTCAGATTTTTGGAATGTCGTTGTGGGATCATAAACCTTATATCATGGATGCATTGGTCGGCCTACTCATATCACTGGTACACAGCTCAACAATTACCCTCATGGTGTGACTATTAATTAATCCGGATGAGGAAGCTATCAAGCTAGACAATTTTTGTTTTTGTCTTTTCATCGCAGGCTGTCAGTAGTGGAAAGTATCTGGACTCTTGTCTCAATATGCTCATAAGCAACTTCCTTCCACCGAGTTGGGTAATAAGTAAACTTGCGGTCGCCAACCCCCGTGTAGTCAACAAGAAGACAGAAGTTCTCTCTAGGGTTCATGAGGCCTTTCTGAAAATATCTCTTTTGTTTCCTCTTGCTCCCTCGAGATTATTCCCCATGCTCGCCCAGAGAATGCCCAAGATAAACAAAAAGGACCATGTGAGTCTTTCGTTTTGGTACATTTTTCAACAATGTAGTGGCAAGCTCATGCTGGCGATAAACTCAGCAGAAACTACTATCTTACCGTCTTGCAGGTGATAGTGATGTATGTGGAGAACTTATTGAAGTTGGAGAATAGCGTAATCGGCCAAGTTGGTGGCCGCATGATTCTTATGATGGTGATGGAGAGGCTGCGAGACTTGGATGTAAGTACAGAATATGTTTATACAAATGACGCCATTAGATTGAGTAACGTGGTAACTGGTAGGTGAATGATATGCTGGTGTATCCTTGTAGTTGGAGATTGGATGGGATGATATTCCTCAAGATGACTCTAGTAGAGGCATGTTTGATATGGAACTTGAAGATGCTGCTGAAGCCACTATGGATGAAGGAGACGAGGTAGGCTTAGTGTTTGTTTTGACTATTTATGTTGTCTTTTTGTCATTGTCAAAAGTTGCTAGTTTGCAAGTTAGTGGAATACCTTTCTTTTTGCTGGACTATTGAGAAGTTTGGACTTTGATAATATCTGTTGCAGCTTCCAGTGGGATCTCTAAATCAGGATACATCAATTTCTGACTGTTTGGACAAATTGATGATCAAATCATTTGACCATCTTGAATCCTGTCAAAATGCTGGTCGTTTGGATCAGGTATGGCACCAAATGGTACCTTCATTGACATGTTTATGCGTTCCTTTATGTACTCGTGAATCTTTTTTTGCTGATCTGTTTTAATGGTTGGCCAGGTGTTTGAAAACCTCTTCGAGTCATTTGAGAACTTCATCTTGAATACATACAAATCAAAAGTTTCCCAGGTAGGCCTTATAGATATAGTCACATTTACATACCATGATTCATCATTCTAGACTCTAGCAACTCTGGTTCACGTTCCACATGAGATGTCTAATGTTTAGGCTCACTTTTGCTTTCATCTGCAGTTTCTGCTGTTCTTTGCATGTTCACTGGATCCTGAGAATTGTGGTGTGAAATTTGCGAGTAAGCTACTAGACATTTTTCTCTCCAGCAACAAGCCTCGACCTACTAGGCAAGTTTAACTTTTTCCTTCATGGACAAAATTTTCTCATTCTCTGCACGATTTGCTCTTTTATTGTTCTATTGACAATTTGGTTGTGGCTTTGTTTCTCCCCCTTTGTAAAACAGGATGAGTGCGGTGGCTTATCTAGCTAGCTACTTGGCTCGTGGAAAGTTTTTGCCTGTTTCCTTTGTGGCTAGCGTATTGAAAAGGTTAGAAGCGATTGCTAAATTTTTTTTTGCCTCAAACATATCTGTTTGATCTGATTGAAGCTTCAGTCTGTTGCAACACTGATTCTGTTGTGTCTAAAAAAATTTAGGTTGGTAGATGAGTGTGCGGATTACTGCAGAACTTGCAATAATGATATTAGGCCTGAAGCACATCAGATTTTCTACTCCGGATGCCAGGTATGTATATCTTTCAATCCCAAGCTCCTCTCTGTTTCAAAATTTTGCAATCATAACATCGCTATATCATGCTCTAATATATCCTTTTACAAGTGTTTAAGCCTCATTTGACTGTTTTTTTTGGGTGAACACAGGCGATCATGTACGTGCTCTGCTTCCGGATGAGATCTATCCTGGATGTTCCTCGCTTTCGGTCTCAGCTTATACCATTGGAGTCAATTCTAATGCACAAACTAAACCCATTGATGGTGAGTTATATACTCTGATCCCATCTACTTTTTCACATAAGCTCAACTGTTATCTGCAACTGTTCCAAAGTATCAAAAAAATCATAATAAGCTTTTTGCAATTTGGAGAATAGGTATGCCTTCCATCCGTAGTTGCAGAGTTCCTCAGACAAGCTAAAACAGGTGGCCTGTTCATCGTGTCAGGCTCCTACATTTTCGAAGACCTACTTGAATCTGAGCTTTCCCGTGCTTTTGGCGGTTGCGAGAGGCTTGATACATTCTTCCCCTTTGACCCTTGCATGCTGAAAGAGTCTAACAGGTTCGCTCTCTTTCAAACTCTTGCACTGTTTTGTTTTGCTGTTCTCGAATGAAACGAGTGTCTTGAATGAGAAGACTAAATGTGTTTCCATGCTCATGGCTGCTCTTTTTTCTTGGCTGATCTTGAAGCTCTATATCCCCGAATTTCATCTACTGGTCAGCGGTGAGAGCGAGCTTTGACGGATATGATGATGATGGTGATGATGATGAGGAAGATGCTGAGATAATTGTGTACGGGGATGAAGAGAGCGATGAAGATGAAGAGGAAGATGCTGATCTTGATTACGCCATGAACAAGATGTCCATAACGCCTAAGCACTCTTTCAAGAACAAGATGGAAAGAGACAGACTTATGAAAATGCCTTCCATGATCAGACCTTCCACTAGTCCTGAATCCTTGTGAGGTTTCTTGGGTGGGGTTGTCTCAATATACGCATTTTTTGTAGCAATATGCAACAGCGACTCGATTCGACTCGGAACAAGTTACTACAATATAGTACTATGAAACAATGTATGTTTGTCTTTAAATGCTTAAATTGTGATAACACTTAAAAAGAAACATATACTAAACGCAGATTCAGTTAAATCGATGGGTTTTAATTTAGTTGAAGGAAACAACAACACAAGAGATATCATCTTTACTTCCTCTAGCCAACGCTTCATCGATAAGCGATTTCGCAGTTTCCTCTGCATTCTCATTCTCTTTGATTTGGTCCCAAGCTTCTTCGTTCGACATCACCTGACAAAAAGAAACCCATCAAATATGAATGGACTAACACCAACTAGTAAAAGACTTTTCTTTAAAATATTATAACTTAATAAGTAAACCTTCCAGAGTCCATCGCTTGCCAAGATCAAGAACTTTGTGTCACCATGGATGTCGACAATCTCTATGTCCGGCCTCACACTAATATGCTCTTTAAGGCTTCCGTCTCCAAAAGCACGTGTCATCGCTAGTTGTCCATCGACTCTTGGAACATTACCTAATGTTTAACAACTTAGAATTAGATGCTTGTTTTTTTCCTTTGACTAGTATGTTAGATGAGCAGTAGTGGAACATTAGAATAGTCGAATGATTTAACACGCACAAAGTCATGTTTTTGAAGACGTGAAAAAGTATGTTCATCGCCAAAGTTACAAAAAGTTTCTAGTGGACAAGAAGGACCTGGCGTTTTGGAGACGAAGCCGCCTTTGCTCTCGACAAGATCTCTCTCCTTCTCAGGTTCATGATCGACCGTAATCTGTTTGACTACATTACTTTTACGGCACAAGATTGCTCTTGAATCACCAACGTTTGCAACCACAAGTTTCTTCCCGTCGACGACAATAGCTGTCACAGCCGTGGAGCCACCTCTTGGACCCACCACGTTATGGAGAATGTAGTCGTCCGTTGATTTATACGCTCTCTTGATTGCCTTCTTTGGGTTTTCCCAAAAATCCGGCTTCAAGAAAACAGCAGCAACAGATCAGTCTTAAAAATTCTGTGAGAAATGAAAGTGAATGATAGATTTTTGTTATTGAAACCTGACTCAAGATGTTATCAAAGAGATGGTTCTGCAAGTAATCCGCAACATCACGGCCTGAGTGTCCATCGAATATAGCGTATAAACCAAGATTGTGTCCATTAACTGATTTTTCATCAGCCACGATGTAGTCTTCCATGCCATGCCCCATTTGGCCTTTCACTAGATGGTATCCATGACCAAACCCACGTCTTCTTCTTCCTGGTTCTATATATACAAGTAGAAACTTCTTCCTGGTTCTATATATACAAGTAGAAACTTTCATCAAGTCAAAGATCATGTATAGATAAAAAATGGCGAAGAGATGTGGTACCTGGAGTACTTTTACAGCGTTCTTGAGATCTCCGCTTGCTGATCTTCGCTTCTGCGTAAAGAAGAGAGTTACCCTAATTAATTTATTACGTGATAAAACTTCACTTCTTATTTTTTCGTTCCAAAATCATCATCACTCATGTATATATTATACATACCTTGACTGCATGCATAAGTATTTCCTCGGTTGAGTTCTGTAGTACTTATCAAGAACATCACTAGATTACTCCTAAACTAAGTTTGCTTGAATGACACGAAAAAGGCACGAATACGAATATGCTTTGATAAACTAATGTCGAATGAAAGTATTAAAAAGGAAAACAAAAGACAGAAAGAATGAAAGAACCTTGGTGGTATCCTTCATTGCTCGATATGAGTTTTGCGCTTCTGTATCTCCGACAAAGAGAAACGTACGTTGATGTTTTTAAATAGTTAATATTGCGCAAGCCTTTTGGAGCGGTGATATGATGCTGAGAACGACACGTTGGTTCCACAAGTCATGCCTTGATTGTGCCAGCATGTCTGAAGCCGCAAACCATGTTTTGTGTTGTGTAAGAGGTTGGGGCGGGCGATTAAGTTTATCCCTAAACCGATCCGAAGATTTATTAAATGCTGTTTTACGATTAGCTAGAGATTGCTTAATTAATACAAACAGTTTCAATTTAAGTACGCGGTGGATCATTTAAAGTGGCTATGGAAATGGAAAAACCTTTTTTGAAGATCAGATTCCAGTTCTTATTGTAAATTTGATTATAAGATGTTATTAATCAGGACTCCTGAATCAGGTGGTATGTAATCCAATTGTATTCTAAGATCAAAAGATCACATTTTTCAGTTGATGACAAGTACATAACCAATAAACATTGAAACTTTGAAATGCTTCTTCCCAGATTTCATCTTGCTTTATGAAACTTCGTTGTAATAATGTTAAACTGGACTATAACTATTATCGCTGCAAATTAGATTACAGCTCAAGCGACTCCAAATTTTATTATATCCAAAGAGAATAAACGAAAAATCTATCGTGTCAAATTGAATCTAATTATGCAGTTAGGTTAAACATAAACGGAAGCTCTAGATTAGTACACTGAGAAACTAATAACCATCAGATTTGCTAATAAACCAACCTTACATCTCACTTTTGTACAAAGTTGATACAAAATCTGCCAAATGAAGCAAACTTTCTTTATATTCTTTTGTGGCATTCAATCGAAGATATTGTGAAACTTGCAAAATGTAGAATTTCAATTTAAAGAAAAATTAAAATTCTCGATGGGATCTAAGTGGAGCTTAATTTGGCATATGGAAAAAGCATTAGAATTGTGATCAAAACAAAATTTGAAGATATCAAATCACAACTTTTTAAGGCATTAAGCAAGCTGCAGCAAAAAAAACCATTTCAATTTCAAAGATAAAATCTTGGAAGTGGCAAATTAGTGAATGTACTTGGTGGTCGAACTTCTCCTTGGATAAAGTTGAAACCTTGTTGCTTGATGTAATTGTGGTACTCATCATAATTACAGTCACTTACGAGTAAGAAAACATTATCACAGTCTCTCTGTATCTCTGCTTGGTTGGTTTCTCTAAAAACTTTATTGTAGTTACCAACACAACCTATTATGGAGATCTCGCCGTTGTAACCTTCTCTTTTCTCAGAGAATTGTCTACAATCACATGGGCCATATGGCATATAAAGGATCGAGAGGTCCTAAAATGTGAGAGACAAGACACTTGCAACACAGATGAAAATGTACATTGAATCAATGTTTAATTAGCGACTTTTATGACTAAATGTTGTCATTTAAAATTTTATGTTGATTTTTCTTAAAAATTTATAACATCATTATTTTTTAAGTTAAGTTTTTTATGTTGATTTTTATAAAACATTAGTTTAAATATTGATTTAATTTTTTTATACAATTTTTTTCTTTGTTAATTTACTTTTTTAGTTTTAATATCAAATTTATTTTGATACATAAATAAAAATTAACATCTTTAAGACATAATTTTTTTATATTTATTTCTTAAATACTTAGCCTAGATATTAAATTAATTTCTTTTTAGATGATTTTTTAAAAAATTAAAAAAATTTCATATTAATTTCTATTTTAATTGGTTAAAATTTTGTAAAACACAGTTTACTTTTTGTTAGTTAATATTTTTATTAATTTCTTAAATAACTTGTTTAAAGCTTAATTTTTTTGTTAATTAAATTTTTTATGTTAGTAAAAAATTTTCTGCTACTTAAAATTTTTTATATTAATCTAAGTAGTTAGTTTATATATTTAATTTCCTTTTTGATATTTTTTTGTTAATTTAATTTTTTCAATAGTAATTTTCATTTTAATTTGATTTATATTTTGTAAGAAATATATCCGTTTTTTTGTTAGTTATAGTTTTATATTAACTTTTTCAATAATTCGCATCATGCATTATTTTTGGTAATACGCAAAATGTGCCAAAATGCTGAGATCAAAACGTCTCAGCTCCACAAGTCATGCCTTCATTGTGCCAACATGTCTGCAGCCGTAAACTGTGTTCTGTGTTGTGTCAAGGGGCCGACTAAATTTATCTCTAAACCGACCCCAACATCTGGTAAAATACTGTTTTAAGACTTAGAAGATTGCTTTATACATACAGCTTCAATTTAAAACCGAGTCTTGGAGACGTTCCCTTCCCAAGTATTATCTTTCAAACTCCTTCATTTTATACATACTTTAAAGCTACAACAAATCCATGATTCTCCTTCCGCACCTTCTTAATCCGTAGTTTGTCACTGCTAATTCAGTGAAAGATATGACCAATAACCAATACAGTGGCTATGGAACTGGGAAAGCCTTTTTGAAGATCAGATTCCAGTTCTTGTTGTAATTTTGATCACAATATGTTACTTATTAGGAGGTATGTAATCCAAATGTATTCTAAGATTTAAAGATCCAACATCACATTATTTCAGTTGATGACAAGTACATAACCAAAAAAAACCATATCTACTGAACAAAAATAAAACCTCGTAGAAACTAAAACATCAACAGCATGAAATAAGCCTGAGAGATCTGTACACCAAAAGAAGAGAAATAAACTATAGTGTGAAAGGGATTTGTCATCAATCTGCTGGTGGTCTCTTTGATTCTCCGCTAAGCTCTCTCCGGACAAGCTTCAAGATCTCAATGATCTGCAAAGTGAGCATCGGTATAGAGTAAATATGTACACTGATCATAAAAGAAAAAAAAAAAATCTTCAATGGAGAAAGAGAAAACATGTGTAGAGAGGGAGTCCGCTTACGCCAGTGTAATGCTTTAGGATCGGAGAGTAATGATCGAGAGCTATATATATTTTCTCAAGAAGATCCAAGAGTGATTCAACCTCATCTCCAAGAAGATCAACCTGCGATTCAAAATCCATATAAACATCATTCTCAATCCAACAACAGTTTCTTCTCCTAATCAAAGAACAAGAAGGCTTCAAAGCTATAGACTGTAGAGGTTGATTATTGATATGGACACAACTCTCAGTCACTCTACTGAATATTAAAGTAATGAAGCTTAAAGGAAGCCTTGGATGAGACTCACCTCAGCTTCGGCCTTTAGGAGGTCACTAGACTTTTTCTCGAATCGTTGCTTGTACATCGATGCTTTCCCCTTGAGCTCACTGATTTGTTGTGACAGATCACACAATTGACTGTCCATGTTTTTCAACCTAAGAGCCACAAAAGTTCTCATAAAAATTACTATCGGCATGCTACTGAATTAAGGGATGCAGTACTTGCATATCCATGTGTTAAGGGAAACGAAAGCAGTGAGAGATAAGAGTACCTGGAATTCGTTTTTTGCGTCTTTTCTGCTACCAAGCCCTCGAGAGTGTTGAAACCTTGCATCAATTTAGGAGGAACTAAGTCCAGAGACAGAAGTAGCTTTTTAAATGTTTCTTTCTCTGCTTTCGTCGCTGATAGCTTCTCCTCGGTTTTCCTTTTCTCATCTTTGGTTTCCTTCAAATTCTCTCTTGCTATTTCTAGCTCTTCTCTGAAATCGGATATCTTCGTCTCGTAGCCTTCTATTTTCTCTAGCTCGCGTGCCGAAATAACTCTTAGTGCTTCGTTTTTCTCCTGAATTTTTGTTTGTTGCTGCTTTATCTGAGATTGCAGATCGTTAATCTGGTGAGAGACTGCCTCAAGTTTCTTTCTCTCTGTATCTAAGTTATCCTCAGCTGTTTGAGCTAACTTCTCCTTCTCCTTGACGAGACACTCCAGCCAATGAATCTCCTCTTTCAATCTTTCCTTGTCAACCATCTCTGATCTCAGAGCTTCTACATTTTCTGTTACATGCATGTTCAACTCTACAATTTTCTTATCAGCTTCCTTCAAGGCTTCTTTATATATAACCGCACTACACTCTTCCCCAAGCAAAGACTCAACACAAGAGTCTACAAAATCATCATTGCTTTCACGGTCAACTTTAGTCGCAAGATCTTCCAGTATCAGCTCATAAGCTTCTCTCATCATGCTCTGTTCCAAATCTGTCTCCTCTTTTGCACATTTAACCTGGCCCACAAACTCCGTCACAAAACACCTATAAACATCTTCAGAGATAGAAGCTTCAACATGAGAATCACCATCATCTGATTCGAGCTTTCGAATCAACTTTTTCTGATCTGCCTCAGCCTGAGAAAGCTGTGACATCTTTTCAGCAGCGTCAGAAAGTGAATTTTTCAGTAGGCGATTTTCCAGAAGAAGAGAATCCAGCCGGCTCTTAAAATCAGCATTGTTCTTTCCTTCAGACACCAACTTTCCATCTTCCAATAAGATCTTATCCAATTTCGAGATGACAAATGGTATCTTCTTTTTCAGCGCCTCTAGCTCCTTATCCTTCCCAACAAAAGAAAAAGAGCCCCTTTCCTTTAAATTCAAGTACTTTCGCTTAAAGGTAAAACACTGCTCCGTCATCTCCTGGATCTCATAATCATGGTCTATTTTCATTTTGTTCATCTCAGTCTTAAAGTGACTGATCAGATCATCCTTTGACAAGTGTTTTAAAGTCTCAGAATTCTCTTCATGCTTACCATTTGTGTCTGCAGCTGAACTAATGCCTCCCGACATCTTGCGGTGCAATTGCTCTACTCTTTTCCTGTCCCCTTCCCCTCCTGCCTCGATGTCCCCATTTTCATGATCCGTAAGCGATTTACGAATCGCCTCTAGTTCCTGGCGCAGACCAGTAATCTCTTTGATGTTTCCGAGTAACAGACTCTTATCACCACCAAATCTAGCTTCTTGCTCCACTATCCTCTGTTGATACTCATCCTTGAGACTCCGAACAAAACTAGTCACCACGGAAAACTCAATCTCTCTTTGAAAATCATGCTCCTGCTGCCACAACGAGGATGGGAGCTCCATTTCATTCTTCCGCTTCAACACAGTCTCGAGAATGCTCTTCAAGGAAACAAGCATTTTATCGAGTGTTTTGGACCCGCTCTCATGAGTACTGCTGCCTAAACCCAATGTGTCATCCACGGTGGTGCCTGCTCTATTCATGTGGATATACTTTCTCAAACTGGTGAGTTCATCAACGAGCATCAACAACTGTTTTTTCGCTTCAGATTTAACACTGCGTAAAGATCCACCTGGAGGGTTTATACACGCCTTATCATGCATCGGAGAAGCTTCGTTCTCTTCAGAGCCAACATGGTACATAAACAGCGTCTCCCTGATTCTTGACAATTCAAGGTCTTTCTGAGCTATCTTCTCAGCAGCTTCCGACTCGATTGCTTTCACCATTCCCCTTATAATCGAGTCGCTCACAGTACGCGAGATAGTCAAACGATCGTTTATATCCTCAAAGTAAGAATCCAAGTCCTCGAGAAAATCAACATTCGGATTCTCATTCTCTTTGAGGACGCCATTAATACCGTCACCATGAGACTCTAAACTACCATTCTCAGCCATCACAAACTCTGCCTCCTCCATAAAAGATATATAGCCCTTAAGGGAGAACAAACAGTTTCCTTTTAGTGTGTGATTCTCATGAAATTCAATGGAAAACGAAATCGAAAAATTGAATTAACGCAAATTCTTTACTTAAATTGAAATGCTCTGAAGCTTCCTAGTTTCTGAATCGAGAACGATTTTCACCAGAAACACGAGGAACCCACATATTTCATTTCACTCTACTAATTGCAGGAATACAAAATCGAAAACGAAAGAGAAGAATGATTCCATATAAAACGTAACTGAGATTACAAATCCTATCAGAAACCCAGAATCCGAACGACTATGACCGAATAAGGGACAAGCGAACTTACCTAGCTGAATTTCTATGGATAGAGTGTGAAGAAAACTCCTCCAGAAGAGCTACTACAGCTTCGATTTCAACGGTGAGTCTTCTTCCGCAGTTTTAGGGTTTCCGGAGAAAACGCAGACAGAAGAAGGAGAAAGTGACACACCGGAGCGGAGCGGAGCGGGAGAGTCGAGAAGAAACGCTTTTTTACCAGCTCCCTTATTCTATAATTACGAAAGTACCCCTATCAATTTTGTCTTATGTGTCTTACTTTGATATATACACAATGTATGTGTATATGTATAGTCTGTATTTGGCCCTTCCAACATTTGACAAGTCTTATGTTTTTCATGCAAAATGTCGCTATATAAAATAACAACAATAGTTTGACCCCCCCCCCCAGCCAAAATAAGGGTTAATTTGTCAGATATTCATATTGGACTTTGAAATAAAGAATATAGCTATGGATATGTGATATTTTACCCACTAACAAAACATAGTTATATTTGTCTACTCTACCCTCCATTTCGCTAACGGGAACCGGATGAATTGAAAAGGAGGATGACATCACGTAGGAATAGTTTTATATTTATTACATAAAATATGTCAAATACTCTACCCACTACTTTGATATGGTTACAGAGTGAATTATTAAAATTTTATGTGTTGTTTCTGTCAATTTCCCAAAAAATAACAACAATAATAAATTATTGAGTAGCTTGTTCAAATATGTCAGTCAACTTAATCCAACAAATTCAGTTCATAATGTATAAGAATATCAGAATATTTCACATTCGAAGTTGAAACATCTTTAAACTATAGAGTATAAAATTTATGGATCAATTCATTTGATTAGTAACTGTATTTAAACAAGAACCTTATAATTTATAATATCATGATTTTAACTTATCTTTCTGAGTTGAAATCTATTATCTATTCGTTAGTATATATTGTGGCTGTTTGTCCAATGCTTAATTTTATTGCGTCAAATAAGTTAAATGGTTAATCAACTCATTCATAATCAGAATTCAACAAGTCTATAATGATTTTTAAGATATGTTAACAAGTGTTGCTAGAAGTTAATTGAATTTAAAATAATTTCGGTTCACTCATGAGTCGATTTCATAATCACTAAGGCTATATAACTAATTTATAATCATTGTAGGCCAATCCACCTATGCAAATAATTAAAAAGGCTCAAAGTTAAGCCAGTCCAGCGATTGATAACCTCTCTTTTGGAGTTTTAGTCTATTTGTATGGAAACGGAAATAGGTACGTAAAACGGAACGCTTCGAAACGCGAAAACGTTATTTTAAAAAAATATAGAAATAGATATATATATATTAAGTATTAAAGATCTAATTATAAGGTAGAATATTCAAATCAACAAAATCTAACATATAATTTTTACATAATTATTAAACTATAAAAATTAAAATATGTAAAGTCAAAAATTTAGAAGATTTTTTTTATTATCAATTTTATTAGTTTCATTAACTAATCTATCTCTAATTCTAATTCATCTAGACAATAATTTTCAAACTTAATAATCTCAAAATTAATCTTAATTACCAAATCAAAATATTTATTATTTACTATAAATAAGTAAATTGATTATTTAATTTAATTTTTATAATTATTTCTTTGTTTTATAAAAGCAAAAAAATAGTTTTTATCTTCTTTCTAAAATAGAAACGCGTGTTTCTAAAATGGAAACGTGTTTCCAAAATGTTTCCAAATTAGAATTTTCAGGAAACGTGATTTTTCGTGTTTCCGATGAGTTTCCGAGAGTTTCGGTTTCCGAAACGTTTTGGAAACGGGAAAACGTACCTCGGACGAAGTTTCCATGCAACCTAGGTTCTAGTTAACTTTTTAGTCGATTGATTTTATGATTTGGTGTATTTTTGTGATTTGTATTATCACCAGAGGTTAACAGATCTATCACAGGCAATCAGAAGATGAACAAGCAGGATTCTCTTTCGTGAATTGTAAAAAAAAAATGGAACTATATATGGAAGCAAGAAAATGTGGCTTGGACAAGCTTGGGAGCCTATGCTACCATCCCTAGACCAAATGAAACATTTATTTTGGCTCCTAATTTTTAGTAGCTCATTTCAGAATTGTTTATATAGATACATATATATATAAATTAATATTTTATAGTCTGTTGATATAAATCCAAAATATTTATAAAGAGTCTAATTCAGTAAAAGAGATAAATCCACAAATAGTCAATAAATTAGCTTAATTGTGTTTTGTTTATTATCTTCCATAAATAAAAGAGAAAAATGCATAAAGTATTTTTCAAAAATCATAGATTATTTTTAGTTTATTTTTTTGTCAAAAATTATGTATTCTTTAACATTTTTTATATTTGAACATATCTATATTTATATGAAAGTTTTTTATCAATTCTATATGATATAAATTATGGCTCCATTTTGTAACTGATGTCGAGTTTCCAAAATCTCAAAACCGTCCCTGACTACCATCGTGTTCTCAAACACGTACATGTCTGGAATCATTACTCCAGAAGGTTGGAGAATGGTCGACTATAGACATATTCAAATATCTTACTTTATGTCTTGAATATGTTTTTAGTTTTCTGATTGGTGACTTTTGGAGAACATAAATGCTAAACGAAAGGGTTATATATGTATGGGAATCAAGTCACATAAGCATCTTATCTTTCATAGCCATTCAATTTGTTGGATATAAATGGCGATCAATGGCTTCATTACACTATACTATTCGAGCTTACATCTGAAGACAAGAAATCTTATCGGATTTTACGTACTAACGTATATACAAATACACAATATATATAGTAAAAAGTTCAGATATAGATTATAATTAAGTCTATAGATAATAGACACATTCACATCTGGTTTTCAAACAAGACTATATTTCATGATTTATAAAAGAGTGGTGAATTTACGTTATAGTTATCACCAACCTACATATATGAAAAAGTTTATGTTTATTGGCGGCACAAACCACAGAATCATGGCTGACCATATATATAGAGTTTCTTTTTGGTTGATTTATACGTTGCTGTGAGTAGTAATTATCATTTTTGGTTTTTATGTCTTAAATTTTTGTAATCACTTTCTGTTTGCATATTTTTTACTTATATTATATTTATTTTTTTCTCAGTTTTTGCTTACTTTTGTTTATTTTTTCAATTCACCTTTTTAAGCATAATTTCGTAATACGATTTATTTAATTATGTTATCTATAGGTGGAAAGCTAAAGGATGGAGTAAACAGAGAAGGTGTACAATTCTACAAAGATTTCATCGACGAACTTCTTGCTAATGGTAAGATCATTAATTTAAAAATATTAATGATCCTCATAAGACCATCAGTATCCGTGGCTCTTGCCTTTGGGAGTGCTCCTCCGGTCCTCAGCTACCCAGAGAGCTGTCACTGCCATTAAAGGCGAGATCCCGTACGGACGTGAACTCAAAAAGCCCTCTGATGAAATGGGTCTGACTCAGGAGACCGAGTCGGTTACGCTTTCACAGAGACTTGAGTATGCTTCCAAGTGAGTCATCTCGTTTCTTTCCCTTTCACACTCTCCGATTCTGATCGACATGTCACTTGTTTTATGCTGTTCACGTGGAAATGTTGATATTGCTTGTTTGTGTTATCTTCTGTGATCTTTTCATGGAGGGCAACAGGGACGATGTAAAATGGTGTACTGCGCGGCGCTGCTGCGATTATGCGCAGGGCAGGGCACCATTTTACATGGTCTTTAAAATATCACAAGGTAAACTCTTCAGACTGCGAATTTCACGACCGTATATATCCGATCCAACGCAAGACAGTCTTGGGATATGGCAGAGTACCGCTACTACTACCTCGTCCTAGTTGTTGTTGTTCTCCATAAAAACTTGTTATTTCGGCTGTTATGGATACACCGAAATGAGTGATATGTTTTGTCAATACTAGATTCTTTTTTTTTCCATACAAGTAGCTGCATTTAATGTTTCAGATTCAATCTTTCTTGTTTTGTAGTGTATATATATTGATCATTGTGATCTGCATGGATCAATCACTGTCATTTGCATATCGAGTCATAGGACTCGTACACGCTGTTTATAAATCTCATCTGTCTATTCTCTGCGAGACAATACTCACTTTTCCAGAGAATATTATGAAACTCAAATCTTAGATAATTTTGTTGTGCTAATTTTTCTAAAAATAAAATGCTACCATCATGTTTTCAAACACTTACATGTCTGGAATCATTAGGAGTGGTCGACTACAATTAAACATATTCAAATATCTTACTTATGACTTGATATGTTCTTAGTTTTCCGATTGGTGACTTTTGGAGAACTAAATGCTAAACGAGAGGGTTATGTATAGAAATCAAGTCACAAAAGCATCTTATCTTTCACAGCCATTTGTTGTATATCAATGGCGATCAATGGCTTCATCACACTATACTATTCGAGCTTACATCTGAAGACAAGAAATCTTATCGGATTTTACGTACTAACGTATATACAAATACACAATATATATAGTAAAAAGTTCAGATATAGATTATAATTAAGTCTATAGATAGACACATTCACATCTGGTTTTCAAACAAGACCATATATATTTCATGATTTATAAAATGAGATCACGACAAATGCAATGATCTCTTCTCATCTATGTGGTATACCATGTTTAATAAACAATTATTTCTTCGTCAAACTATATGTTTCATCAATGATATTTGGTTCCTTCATTTCACATGGTATTTTTAATATTTGTTATCTACTAGCTAGGTAACAACTCTGGAAAGAGAAAATCGACAGAAATGGCAAACAATAATGGACAACAAGATTTACGAATTATGTTTTATGTTACTGAAATATATAACATCTAAAACATATTGAATAATCTCAAATCATGTAAAACTAAAAATTCAAAAACAAAAACCTAAAAGAAACGTGCATGTATTCACGTAGTTCACTATAATACTTAGTTTGATGTATTTTTCAACTTCTCTCGAATGCATATTTTCAAGATTGACCTTTTTCAGCAATGCTGACAAAATGAATAATATTTAAACGCTCAAAAATCATACCTCATTTTATACAAAGTGAACATATGTTATTGAGAAAAGTATGAGTCGATTTTGTACGGTGTGATTGATGATTGAATGGATAAACATTGCCTCCTCAGTGCTTCGAAGATGTTTTTGTCTATAAACTTGTTGGATTTGATGATAAGCTTAAAGCTTATGACTCATTCACTGAGTTCTTCTTACCTTATATGGCCTTCTACACCAAAAGAGGAGACAAAAAAACATCTGTTTCGTTATAATCCTTCTGCTTTTTTTTTGCTAAAATGCATTTGAATCCTTCTTTCTCAATATATGTAACTCCATATACTATATATTATATTCTCTATCGGCCGCACCTGTACCCACTAGGCACGTTTCTAGCAAATGTGACACGGTGCATGAAGGTACTCGACAAAACTCTACCGAAGTCGAACCAATCTAAATTCAGTTCAGAGTTCAAACAATAATACCACACCTGGTTTAATGTAACTCAAATTCGAACAAAACCTAAACCGGACCGAATCTTCGTTTTTCGATACCGGACGCTTCCATGATGACTCACAAACGAAAGATGAATGTTGGGGCAACGGGCAGAGGTGGGGCCAAGTGAAACTAGTGGCGTTGAATAAATTGAGAACATATTCGGGCAGCTATCCAGATCTGCCCCGTCCTTACCTACTATGCCTGTCTTGTCCGCTCGCCACTTGTCTTAATATTATGAGTTGTTGCCTTCCTTCCACTATTACACTTCGTGTCGTTTTCTACTCCTACACATTTTCATGGTTTCGAGCTGACCTATCAGTGTGAGTGGGAAAAACGGCAGGATGTTTATGAATGTAGGAGAAGGACGCTCTGAAGTGTAACGGGATATGGCTTGAAAAACGACACGACGTGTCCCTTTCTGTCTAGCCGTTTAGGCCTCTGTTCGTCATTTCGTCTCCTTCCTTAGAACAAACAGAAAAGGAGAGACCTTTTTATCGATTTTTCTGTGGGTAAGATCCAGAGATTGAATCAGCTTAAATACTTAATAAAATCCAGGTAATTCTTTTGTTTTCTTTTTTCCCACCACGATTTCGAAATTCTATAGCTTTTTTGTGGTTCCCCTGTGCCTTGTACTTCATCTCGTTTCCTGGGAAATGCTTTTGCTGTGTAAGTCGTCGAGATGTGAAATTAGAGGTTAAAACGGTTTATTCATGTTCTGAGTTTTGTTTAGATCGTAGGGTTGTAATCTAATATCTGCTTGGATTCTCGTAGTAGCTTGACCGGTTTTGTGATTTTGGCAATTGAATTCCGATTCTAAAGCTCTTAGCTTTTAAGAGAACCGTGTACTGACTTTTGTGCTTTGTTGTTGTTGTTACAGTTTGTTCCTGGGAGCTTTAAGATAAGGACAGTCTCATGAATCATGACTTCTTCAGTGCATGAGCTCTCTGGTTTTGTTTCTATCTTGACCGATTCCTCTTATGTTGTCTCTGCTTCTGTTTCTCTTTCTGACCGTTTTAAACTGATTCTTGGTGGTATGTTGACTGGCCAGATAACAATGAAAGCCACAAGAAGCAAGAACGTCCAGATTCTCAAACCCGACCACCGGTTCCTTCAGGACGAAGTTCCGAATCTACAGATACAAACTCCGTCTACTCAGAGCCGATGGTAATTTCTCTCAACCTAAACTAAAATTTCAAGTATTTGCGCAGGAGACTGATCTTGTTTTCGGTTAGAAGATGTTTGGTTTAGTTCCATGTGATCTTGCTTTCGGTTATCAGACGTTTGGTTTTGTTTCGTGTGATTCACCTAGCTTTTGTTTCAAAACTCACAATGCCAAAACTTTCTGGACTTTTGTTTGAGCTAATTCAAGCAGGAAGGTTTTGACTTCTTTCGTCCCGTAAATATTAACCTTACTGCAAATTTAGACTTAGTGCAGTGTAATAGTATTGAATCCAAGTAGTGTTAAGCTTTTCAAACTCATGTCGCTGAGAATTGAGATGGTATGGTTTTTTTGTTTTTTTGTGTGTGCGGTGGTTCTTGAAGGCACATGGGCTTTACCCCTATCCAGATCCTTACTACAGAAGTGTCTTTGCACAGCAAGCGTATCTTCCACATCCCTATCCTGGGGTATGTGTTATATAACTCAGCCTCCACGTCTCAGATTCTAAATATTGGATAAGCTTTTTGTTATACTCTAAAAGCTTTCTATTTTTGTTTTAAGGTCCAGCTGCAGCTAATGGGAATGCAGCAACACGGGGTTCCATTGCAATGTGATGCAATCGAGGAGCCTGTTTTTGTTAATGCAAAGCAATACCACGGTATACTCAGGCGTAGGCAATCCAGGGCAAAGCTTGAGGCACGGAATAGAGCTATCAAGTCAAAGAAGGTGAAACCTCAGCAAGCAAAAACTGTGACTTTTGTTTGGTTTGATTCCTTTCTAATATGTTCTCGTTTCTCGTTTTTTTCAGCCATATATGCATGAATCTCGGCATTTGCATGCGATAAGACGGCCAAGAGGATGTGGCGGCAGGTTTCTCAATGCCAAGAAGAAGAATGGAGACCACAAGGAGGAAGTGGATGAGGAGGAGGAAGCAACCTCTGATGAGAACGCTTCAGAAGCAAGTTCCAGCCGCAGGTCTGAGGAATCAGCCATGGCTCCTAATGGTAGATCTTGAGTGAGGTTCTTGCACAGCCACATCAAGTTCGGGTTTCTATTTCGGGGTGGGTGTTTGCCTCATAGCATCATCGTCTTTAGTGTTTTTGGACAGGCTGTGTAGTCTTGTGTATAGGGTTATTTGCTTGGAGCAGCTAGGGTGGCTTTGTTTTAGTGATTAGAAAATAAAACTGAGCAAAGAAAGTGAAAAGCGTGATTGAAAGTATTGTTTGTACCAAAATGATCTTCTTTGCCAATGAATTGGTGTTTTTGGAAACTAAACTAATGTTATTTATCTTTGTTTTGCTATGATTTTGTATAGACTGTCTTTTTTCTCTATATGCATTGATAATGCTATGGATCAATTATTTGGTGACTGGTGACCGTAAAACCCGTCTAATTAGAATCTTAAACTGCACTGATCGCTGTCATTAAATTCATATCCTACTAAATTTATTAGATAAAACTTTACAATATGTAATATTGAGCATATTGATATTCTTCTCTATATTTTCTTCCTAAACGTATTGGGAAAATATGGAATGCAAGCTACATGTTGGGGATTTGACATTATGATTTAGGCAAAAAACAATGTGGTCAGTCACTATGCCCATTTTCAAAATGTCTCCAATAAACACACTGTGGTTAATCATACTATTAATTCACCATTTCCAAAACAAATTAATTATATATACATTCACCATATCATTCGAGATGAAAATTGGTTATATTTGTTCCGATAAAATTTAGTTTCTGTTAGATTTCATGTACATCCTTAATTTGAATGTATTTCTTTTTACCAAATTCGTTCGTTTTGGGAAGAAGGTGTATAATATTCTTAATCTGACCACTTTATTATGCACTAAGCATAATCATTTCATTTCCAGACAATTTGTATTTCACAAGTCATGTTTTGTTCTCTTGCGCCTTTTCTATATATTTATAAATTCTGATTTAATAAGGTTCCTGGAAAGCATTGCTTTGATTTTCAGACAGCTTCTGGCTCAAGTTTGGGTTGTTGGCTTATTGCGCTTTAGTTACTGTCTCTTTGGAGTTTACGCAGTTGATAATTTTTAAATCAGAATAACCTAACCTAATACATAATGACACATGCGTTTCCTCCTCCAGTCTCTCTATATGAAGGAAATTTCTTTCTTATAAATGCCATAGCATACAATTAATTACTGTATGAAAAACTTCATCTAGTAGAAAAAACAAAAACTTTGACTTATGAGAACTTCATATATGCTCATTAATCATGTCAAAGTCATATCATGGGATGTTTTCTTCTGGACAAAATTTCAAAATATGACATAAATATGTAATAATTCGTTGGTGGGTTTTGGTGTTGTTGTCATGGGTCCCGACGCGATTCTCTATCGTCCTAGATTCGTTACAATCCAAACCGTGAAATTGTGGTAGTTGGTTCGGAGCTGCACTTGGTCATTGAACTTCGCAGCTATTTTGTGTTGGTATTGAGGTAATTAACAAGCACACTGAAAACAATAAGTCTTACCAATATATATCCCTATATATCAAAGGAAAAACAAATACTAATATATGTTCAACAAAAAATATATATATACTATAAACCATTTGTCTAGGTGTCGTAAAGAAAGTGAATGTATGAATATGTCTTATTGTTCATTTAAATGTAATCTATAAAGAACCTTATAAGTGAAATCATATTACGTCAAATGTCGTTCGATTTTTATATGAATTTGAAGGAAAATAAAGTTTGTATTTAATTTATTATACATTATTCTTGCCAAAAAAAATTATAAACAACATTTTTTTTAACAAATGGAGACGATGTAAGTGATTGATTTTATATATTACAGTAAGCAATTAACTTTTTTTGTTCCTTTTCTTTCTTTTTACTTTTTTTTTGGTTTTGTGTGTCAGTGTGTGGAAGAGATTGAGATTTGGTTTTAGCTTAGGAGCAAAGAGTTTCTTACTTGCGGTCGGGGCTGAAGTCTAGTATACTCGTCGGATAACTCATGATATACACCATGTTTATCAATGAACTTAAAGCCTAGAGCATTTCGAGTGGTCAAACAGAAATGAAAGAGTTTCTAGTGAGAATCAAACTTATATAAAAAAAAAAGAGTTTACACCATGCTCATGTGCGTTTTACTACTAACCAACCACACCATTTGAGTAAAAAACAAAAGATTTGTTAAAATAACAAGACAATGTTGGAGTGTTTCCAAATGCCAACTGCATGAAAAGTTCTATGCATTGTGGGTTAGGTCACATACCCATACATAATACATTGAGTGGTGTCGCATGTGTGTGTATATAGAAAATTATGGTTCATATGTTTGGTGTAAGTGAAAATGTATGTAGTAACTCAAATCATATATAGGGAATGATTGCAAGAAAGTTTTATTGGAAAAGACAGCAAAGTATAATGCATTTTTCTTCTTCTTCTTCTTCTTCTTCTTCTTCTTCTTCATGGGTATGTGCGGTGTGGGTTCTATAATATGAAAGCTCTAGTTACTATATTCCTTTAGCTATAGGCCACTTCCCTTCTTCATCAAGCCACCACCATTTCACACTCTATGTATATTGATTTAATGTTATATTGACAAAAGGGCGTTTTAGCAGCTCGCTTAGAACTCTAACTTTGATATATTTTGTTAGATAGAGAGCATCACTACATCACAGTTTGGTTTCCCCATTATATTATCACAATAACTAACTTCAATTTCTTGCCGCAGATTTATAATAGATTGTGTTGATAAATGTTATTTTGGTGCTATTAATTAACTAGTAAGTTAGGAACTCTTTCCTAATGCCAGTGGGGCAGACATTGAGAAATTAGAAATGAAAATAATCTCGCTAATTATATCTGATCTCATGTATATGATTAATACCATATAAGTTACCACTGATCGGCGATAGATATCTATAATTTGGTTGAGATATAAAGATGTATCTACTAGCTGTATTTGAATATTAAAAAAATTGACTAACGGATCCGTTATTTGATTGAAACAATCGTCTTCTTCAGAATTCTTCAAATCATATTCAGTGCTGTCATATGACGTAATGGGGACATATATATATATATATATATATATGTGGTACGTCTTTTATAAGCTCGATTGCTAACCTCATGGCGAGTGATACCCACAAACTTTAATCCCACTCATAATTATAATATGTATATATGAATACTATATGATCAATACAATATATGCATGAGCAGCCTATCAAATTTGGAGCCTTCCTTTCTATCCATGCCTGACTTTACACCTCTATCATGCCCATGCATGGGTCCCTCTCTCCACCTCTCTTTCTCCCTCTTTCTGTCTCTCTCCTTAACACAATAGGGACAGGAGAGAGAGATGTGAGATTGAAGCAAAGCAAGAAGAACACAATTGTGACTTGTGTCAAACAAATAGGGCTTTTAATTTGACTTTTTTTGGGTTAACTTTCATTTCATTTCATAGAGTGGTATAAAAAGACACTTGTGCTTTTCCTTTCCATTGAGTATGTGATTTCAATATCATTGCTGCATCGATTTCCCATTTATGGAGTAAACTCATGTTTTGTTTTTGGTTTACTTTGTATTGTGTATTTTAAGTTTATAATAAAGTTTGATTTATATATATATATATATATATATATATATTAGCTATTATGGATATGCTTTATTGTTGTATTTGTATAGACTATATAACAAGAGTTTGATAACCGAATAACTAAGTTAATAGATGCTAATTTGTAGTTAACGTGGACGTCATTTATTATAGTTATTGAGATTTTAGTCTAATATAAGCCAATTTTTGGAATTTGCAAATCCATGTAAAATTTGTAGGGATTCTGTGTTCAACGAAAAATGATCTCTGAGTTCAATTCGATTTTGCTCAGACCCACCATTGTATTCTTTGTAACTTACTAATCATGGTTATAATGAAATTGTTCTTGTGATACTATGTAAAATGATTAGAATTAACGATGTACGACCACTTTCATATTTTCACTCGATGTTTAGATGAAAGTTTGGCCACTCCATAAGTATATAAATGTAGGGTTTTGAAATAAGGTTTCAATCCAACCGATCATAACAAACACTAATTAGTTTCAATATAAATTAGTAACTAGACTGCACTCATTGTGCTTATCTCAACTTATTCAGAAATATACGTTAGTATATATAAGCTTTCAAAGCTTTTTCGTTCGAACTTACACGACATGAAATTAGGTTTCTATATGATGGTATCTCATTAGTCTCGAACGTCTACATGCATACCCTTGTTGCTAAACATAAAACCATGCAAGACATATATAAAAAAACGAAACTAATAAGTAGGAAGCATGAAACTTTATACACAATTCACATATGAAACGAGATACAAGCATAGTAGATGATATATTCGTCCATTTGTATGGATATTAAATGCAGCTCCAAAAAGAAGTATATCAATGGTGGAAAATGATACCAACAAAAGAAAAAGAAAAAAAAAACATTGTAAATTTGGGAAATCAAGCAATGTATGTAGTGTGTGACATGGGAACAAGAGTAAGTGGACTTGGCCCAGTGGGGTACTCTAATGCTCCATGCCTCTTGCTAAAATTAAAAAGTTGACACCACAAATAAATACATATCAATAAAGCCAATTATTATTTTGTAAAGATAGATATTGTCAAATTAAAAGGTTTGACATTCTTTCTTCTCCAGCAACCAAACTACTCACTCTATTTATACTTTTAATTTTTCTTACCTTATTATGAAAGCATCCAAAGCCTTTTAGTTCAGAGCACTCCATAATCTTGTATAGTGTGTGATGGTTTCTATATATACATTCTCTCCCTTTCAGAGGTTTCGAGCCAAGGAAACAGGGAACACACTACACAGTCGAAATGTAAAATGCCGACTCATTAATTATTACTCACCAAGCATTATGCATTAGTACTGATTAGTGATTGTTCATGGGTTAAGCACATCCCTCCAACCTAAAATTTTATGAGTCTGTTTTCAGAAAAATACATGTAAATTGATATATAATAGAATAACTAACATATGTATTGGTTTTAAATCAGATTATGTAAACTGTTATTAGTTTTTTTCGGGCAATATGTTTTTCAATATGATCAAATAGCTAAAATATATTGGTTCGTCTGAAATCGGATAATGAAGCAGTCTTTTTTTTTTGTTACCGATCTTACTCAATAATCAAAACTAAATACAAAGAATTTCCTAATACTGTTCGTAGTTCACATACGGGAAAACTCGACAGGAGCATCCAAGTATACTGGAATGAATCTATGATGTACATGTAGCCATGTAAGGTAGGATTTAATACCACGTGATGAGAAAAAAAAAAACTCAAAACTCAAAAGAAATTATGTTTTTGAGTGGCGCGA